AGTATGTTAATCTCCTCACAGGCCTGGATTCAGAGACTTCCAATACATTAAATTTTTTATTTATAAAAGATGAAACTTTAGGCTGGGCATGATGGCTCACACCTGTAATCCCAGCACTTTGGGAAGCCAAGGTGAGCAGATCACTTGAGGCCAGGTGTTTGAGACCAGCCTGGCCAATATGGTGAAACCTCATCTCTACTAAAAATATGAAAATAAGCCGGACATGGTGGCAGGCACCTGTAATCCCAGCTACTTAGGAGGATGAGGCAGGAGAATCGCTTGAACCCAGGAAGTGGAGGCTGTAGTGAGCTGAGATGGTGCCATTGCACTCTGACCTGGGTGACAGAGCAAGACTCCGTCTCAAAAAACAAAACAAAACAAAACAAAAAAACAACCTGTACTATGTGAGATTAAACTTATGAGGCTTATATGTAGCTAATGTTTTCAAAGTGTTACTTTTTTAACTCAGTATAGTTTTCTTACAATTGGCTCTTTAGTTTTTCCCCATTTTATTGTGAAAACATTCAAACATAGACAAAACTCAGAAGAATATTATAGTAAGTATTCTTATATGCTCTCTCTAGATTTTGATAGTTGTTAATTAGACCCTTGGTTTCAAGAAAATTTATTAATGGGTGTCTTTTTTTTTTTTTTTGAGATGAAGTCTGTCTCTGTTATCCCAGCCTGGAGTGCAGTGGTGTGATCTCAGCTCACTGCAACCTCTGCCGCCTGGTTCAGGCGATTCTCCTGCCTCAGCCTGCCGAATAGCTTGGATTACAGGCACCTGCCAATATACCTGGCTAATTTTTGTATTTTTAGTAGAGACAGGGTTTCACCATCTTGACCAGGCTGGTTTTGAACTCCTGACTTCATGATCTACCTGTCTCAGCCTCCCAAAGTGCTGAGATTATAGGTGTGAGCCACTGCACCCAGCCTAATGGATCTCATACTAAAATATAGTAAGGTGCAGTGGCTCATGCCTGTAGTCCCAGTTACTCTGGAGCCTGAGGTGGGAGAATATAGTATACTATTTGAAATTAATTAACTAGCGTGCTCAGAGGAAATGATTTTAATTTTTTAAAATGAGCCATTTTATTATAGAAATTATTTTGAAATAGGATTTGTGGCTCTCAGTTCAGTAAAGTTTAGCATAATTTAATGTCTGCGAAGTTTCAGTGTTTGCTGTCTAGCCATCAGATATTTAGGTACTGTTTTAAAATTCCTGCATTCAAAGATGCCTCAAAGCAGGATGGAAATTTCTTTTAAATCCTTAAGCTAAAAGCATAATATATTGGGTTTTCTTTTTGTTACCTAATGGAAAATGGAAAAACAAAAACAAAAGCATGGGTAACATTTTGAACAACTTTATATTACTAACAGCCAATGGAATTTAAAGACCCTAATAGGAAAATTTCTTTTATTAATAGATTTTATAAGGAGAAATTAACTTTTGTTTGATAGTGAATGAGTACGTTTTGCAGTATAATCATTTTAGGTTGATCTCTTAAAAGAATTCTAGAAGTCTAATGCATACATATTAACTCTACTATTTTATGATGGTTTTACTTTGTAAGTATTGGCTTTTCCATTTTTATTATTTTAGTGGTTGTGTTATGGTTCTCATTTATAGAAGCTATTGTGAAATACTAATTGAGGTACGATTGATAAAGCACTTTTTGTAAACTTTCTGGTTTGTGGATAGCTTCACAACTTGTTCAAAAGCCTGTAGTGGTGGTATGCAGCTATGCATTTGTTTAAAACTGTAAATCAAAACGTGAATTTTATTGTATGGAAATTTAAAAGTATATATATTAGAAAATATCAATATGGCAGGAGAACAAGGTTGACTTTTATCTCACAACTAGTGTCTACTACCATCTCTGGAAACTTTAAAAAGTTGTCAGCTTTAAAAATTGTTGCTAGAAAATACTTGGGAAGTTTTTAATTGGTGGGAAAAGGTATTTGTGCTTCAAAATGTAAGAGTTTTCTGGGTATTCAGAAACATTCAAAGGAAGAAAATGAATTTTGGAAAACTTGCTTGCCTTTATGTGCAAATTTAAGTTGATATTTGAACAGTGAATAATTTTGTTTACATAAAGTCTTTTGACTTTTATATTGGGAAAAAAAACTAACTTGAGGCCTAGTGCTGTGGCTCACGCTTGTAATCACCACTTTGGGAGGCTTAGTTGAGCAGATCGATTGAGCTCAGGAGTTTGAGACCAGCCTAGGCAACATGGCGAAACACCAACTATACAAAAAAGTACAAAATTGGGAATGGTGGTATGTGCCTGTAGTACTAAGTACTCATGAGGGTAAGGTGGGAAGATCACCTGAGCCCGGGAGGTCAAGGCTACAGTGAGCTGTGTTTGGGCCACTACACTCCAGCCTGGGCAACAGTGATGTTCTCTCAAAAAAACAATAAAACAGACTGGGCATGGTGGCTCACGCCTGTAATCCAAGCACTTCTGGAGGCTGAGGTGGGTGGATCATTTGAGGTCACAAGTTCAACAACAGCCTGGCCAACAAAGTAAAAGCCCTGTAATCTTTATGGTTTGTGGATAGCTTCACAGTAAAAGCCCATCTAGTAAAAACAGCCAAGATGGTGACAGTGCACTAGAGTCTGGGTGACAGAGACCCTGTCTCAAAAAAAAAAAAAAAAAAAAAAAAAAAAGGCCAGTGAGGTGGCTAACACCTGTAATCCCAGCATTTTGGGAGGCCAAGGCAGGTGGATCACCTGAGGGCAGAAGTTCGAGACCAGCCTGGCCAACATGGTGAAACCCTGTCTCTAGTAAAAATACAAAAATTAGCTGGATGTGGTGGCATGCGCCTGTAATGCCAGCTACTCAGGAGGCTGAGGCAGGAGAATCACTTGAACCTGGGAGACTGAGATCGCAGTGAGCCGAGATTGCACCATTGCACTCCAGCCTGGGTGACAAGAGTCAAACTTCCTTTAAAAACAAACCAAAAGAACAGAAATCCCGAAAAAGGGTTAGAGGGGATGTATGCTTTTTTAGTTTGTGTCAAAGGAGTAAGCTGGGTTGATTACTTCAGATTTTCTGTTAGCTATACTTTTAAGATTCTGTAAGTTACTTTACTGTGAAGAGTACCTTTTATTTATGAGACTAAAAGCTTTAACTTTTATTATCCTTTAAAGCTTTGGAGGCAACAAAGAAGCCTGCCATGGTTTCTTGGACCAGGTAATAGAGTCTGTGGAAGTGGTCACATAGCTTTGTCTTAGAGAAGGTTTTGAGTATAAAGAGAAGGCATAAAACTAAAAAGGAAGAAGAGAAAGGAAAATATTTAAAGTGAATGAAAATAAGTATCTTTAATTTATAAACCAAAATTTATAAGTTAATTCACTAAAAAGAAAATGAGGAGCTATTGTAATTTTGGTGTAATTTTTCCAAAAAGAGACTTTCCAAATTAGTATTCTTTCCCCCTCTGGTTCATTTTAAGTGCTGTAAGTTGATCATGACCTTGGAATGACTTTATTTCTAAGTTTTCCTGTGTGTGACATTTTCCTTTTCACTTTTGATCACACTTGATTGCCTTAAAATTCTTTTTGTGTTGTATCCTTCTCAGTTTTCTTCAGAGTTTCTCTTTGCCTTGTGAGCTCTTTTTCTCCTCCTCATCTCAATCACTTGGTATATTGTTTTCTTCTTATTTAATATGCTTGGTTGGATAGGATTCTCTGGAAGTATTACTATTGCAAGGATGAGTACATTAGGTTTATTTTGTTGAGTGTTGGCCCTTACCACTTTCCTGTTTGTATTGCCTTCTCAAAAACCTGGCCTTTGTGTGGTAGATTTTTTAGGCAAAAGATAGACAGTAATGGAGGTGAGAAGTATGGAGGAGGACTGGGGTTGGCAGATCATCAAAAGTTTGCCTTTATTGTTCTGAAAGTTTTTGTGTTTTACAGCTGTGTGGTAACCTCTTTCAGAAGACACGCTAAGTTTAGTTTTATAGCCATTCTTTTTCCAATGGGTTTCAAAGGTTATATGATTTGTCATATCACAAGATTTTTCAGAAAAATCAGCTAATTACACATTTTTTTGCAATATGACACTAAATTTGAGACAGAATAATCTTTGCTTTATTTCTCCATATATTATATATTATAAATACATGTATCTTACAATGTAATATAAAGCCATAAACTGGCTGGCGCAGTGGTCATGCCTGTAATCCTAGCATTCTGGGAGGTTGAGGGGGGTGAATCACCCGAGGTCAGGAATTTGAGACCAGCTTAGGCAACACGGTAAAAACCCCGTCTCCAGAAAAAAATACAAAAATTAGCCAGGCATGATGGTGGGCGCCTGTAGTCCTCAGTTACCCAGGAAGCTGAGGCAGGACAATCACTTGAACTTGGAGGCGGAGGTTGCAGTGATCCAAGACTGTGACATAGCACTTCAGTCTAGGCAACAGCGAGATTCCGTCTCAAACAAAAAAGTATTTAAAAAATTTTTGAGATGGAGTCTCGCTCTGTCACCAGGCTGGAGTGCAGTGGCATCATCCCCGCTTACTGCATGCAACCTCTGCCTGTAATTTTAGTAGAAACAGGGTTTCATCATGTTGGCCAGGATATTTTTGATCTCTTGACCTTGTGATCTGCCCACCTTGGCCTAAAGTGCTGGGATTACAGGCATGAGCCACCGTGCCTGTAGTCATTTTTCATTATAGATGGTCTACAGATTAAGTCCTATTTTATTATTTTGGTGATAATGTGATGTGTATATTTGTATGTATCCCTAAGTAAAGTGAATGTAGAAATATGTATTACTTTGGTTTTATAACTTTAGAGATAAATGTATATTTAAAATAAACTTGTGGCCTGGTGCAGTGGCTCACACTGTGATCCCAGTGCTTGGCAAGGCTGAGGCAGGAGGATTGCTTGAGGCCAGCCTGGTAAACATAGCAAGACCTGGTCTCTCTATTAAAAAAAAGTAGCTAGGTGTAATGGTGCATGCCCATAGTCTTAGCTACTTGAGAAGCTGAGGCAGGAGGATTGCTTGAGCCCAGGAGTTTGAGGCTGCAGTAAGCTATAATTAGGCTACTGCACTCCAGCCTGGACAATAGAGCAAGACCCTGTCTCTAAAAATAAAAAGTAATAAACCAGCATTGAGGAATGTTATTGCCTAGATCAGGGATCTCAAATATTTTGGTCTTAAGACACTTTTACACTCTTAAAAATTGAGAATCCTGGCCTGTAATGTCAGTACTTTGGCAGGCTGAGGTGGGAGGATAACTTGAGCCCAGCAGTATGAGACTAGCCTACGCAATACGGTGAGACCTCGTCTCTTCAAATAAACTAAGAAAAAATTAGCTGGGTCTGGTGGCATGTGCCTGTAGTCCAGCTGCTCAGCGGTTGAGGCTTGAGTCTGAGAGGCAGAAGTTGCAGGGTATGGAGATTGCACTACTGTACTCCAGCCTTAATGAAAGAGCTGTCTCAAAAAAAAAAAAAAAATTGGGAATCCCAATAACTTTTATGTTTATACTGTCAACTCTATCAGAAATTAAAACAATTTTTTAAAATACTCATTTAAAATAACAGTGATAAACCCATTACAAGTTAACAAATGATTTAGGAAAATAACTATTTTCTAAAACAAAACTAAGAGAAGCATGGCATTGCTTTATATATTTATAGGGGTCTAATGAATGGCTATTTAATAGAAGACAGCGGGAGTCTTTTGTCTGCTTCTGTATTCAACCTGTTGCAATAAATTATTTTGGTTAAAATATACAGAGGCGGCTGGGTGTGGTGGCTCATGCCTATAATCCCAGCACTTTGGGAGCGGAGGTGGGAGGACTGCCTAAGAGATGGATTTCTAGACCCTCCTGGGCAACATAGTGAGACCCTATCAAAAAATCTAAGAATAAAACATTAAAAAAAAAAAAAAAGGCCAGGCGTGGTGCCTCATGCCTGTAATCCAAGCACTTTGGAGGCCAAGGTGGGCAGATCACTTGAGGTCAGGAGTTCAAGACCAGCCTGACCAACATGGTGAAACCCCATCTTAAAAACAAACAAAAAACCCCCTAAAAATTAGCTGGGCATGGTAGTGCATACCTATAGTCTGAGTTACTTGGGAAGATCATTGGCGCCCAGGAGTTCAAGACTGCAGTGAGTTATGATCGTGCCAGTGTACTCTAGCTTGGGAGACGGGTGAGACACCCATCTCTTAAAAAAAAATGCACAAAGAAAAATCTAGGCTTACACAGATACGTAGTTGGTAAAGGAAGGAATATTATTTAAATAGTCTTTTCAGGTAAATCTTTTTTTTTTCTCTCTCAAGGCAAGATCTCACTGTCACACAGGCTGGGGTACAGTGATGCCATCTCAGTTGACTGCAGCCTCAGCCTTCCGAGTAACTGAGGCTCCAGGCACATGACACCACACATGGCTAATTTGTATTTTTTGTAGAGGCGAGGTTTTGCCATGTTGCCCAGGCTGGTCGTGAACTCCTGATGTCAAGCAGTCCACTCTCTGCAGCCTTCCAAAATGTTAGGATTACAGGCGCGAGCCACTGCACCCAGCCTGAATCTTCTGATACTATACAGGAACTCAGCAAGTGCTAGTTTCTTTGTTGGGGTATGGAATCTGAAATTGTATTTATGAACCTGTTGGTCTTTCTGGAACTTCAAATGGATTTTTTACCCATGCCTGATTTATAACATGCATTGGTGACTTGAAAAAATATTCACTGTGTTTTGCAGATCTCCAAATATTGACACATTTCATCATACATTACTCCTTCCCCCTCAAAAAAACCCTGACATTAGTTAATATCACTACCCATCTCATCATAAGTCTTTAATTAATGGGCTTATAAATGTCAAATGTTTTTCAAAATTGTAATTTTTACATAAAACCCAACTTTTTCATTGGCAAGAGATACTGTCATTTGTTTCTTTGAAATAACAAGCTCATTTTTTTTTTCAGGAAGGTGTCTGTCAGGTAGCTAAGTCTGAATAGGCATAGTTTATCATTTGTTCTTTCAGAAAGTAAAAATGGTGTTTCATGAAAAAAGCAGCTGGTTCAACTTGCAGCTCATCACTTAAGTGCTTTTTCTCCAGACAACATCTGCTGGTATGAAGAAGTGCTTTGTGTTTACTGCCTATTTTGTCACACAAAATACTAAAAAGATGTATACAGGCTTAAGATTTTATAAAATGAATGGTTTTTACTGCTAAATCAAGAACATTCTTAAATGGAACTGGTACTCTAACCCCAATTTGGGTGGTGATGAAGAATACAATTCAGTGCCTCTTATAGCTTTGCTCGATCCCTTCTAAGCCTTCGGCAGTGTCCACCCACCAGTGCTTTAAATGTCGACACAGTGCAAAATGCAAATATCTTAATGTTATAGTTTTGATCTCACAGATGCCCTGAAAGAGGGACATCCACGTTTCTGCTCACCAGATTGTGAGAATTGATGATTCTAGATAATACAAAGTGGCTTTGATTACTGTTCTGGTGGTTTAAAACCAAAAAAACCTCATTTAGTTTTCTACCTAGAAGAGTGAATCGCAGCTCTCATCTTGTGCTTTTACCTGTGATTTTAAAAACTGTAATCTTGCCTTCAAAGTAGAAAAATATGCCAATTCATAATAAAGTCTTCATGAGAGTATGTTTGAATTTCTATTTCTGTGCTGCTTTCTTTTATATAGCATGCCATTTTATATTTGTGGGCCCAGAGTAAAGAGCTCTTTCTGTTACAGACACTGAATAGCTTTGTTTTTGTCAGTAGTCAGTTCTGTTTTAAAACAATCGGTTGGGTACTGCTGGCTCAACTTGCAGTTGTCCTCGTCCTAACTCTGTCTTAGCCAAAGAGTTATTGGAAAGCCCGCACAAAGGCCTTGTGTATAGGGTGTCCTACTATTAAAGGAGCATGTTCTAGTCTCAGCAGATTAAATTTGCTTTGGTGTGCATTCCCTTACCAAATTTCTCACTTCCTTTATTTGGCTAGTTATTTCACTGAAAGATCATTTTATTTTTTTGAGATGGAGCTTCGCTGTTGTTACCCACATTGGAGTGCAGTGGCACAATCTCGGCTCACCGCAACCTCCACCTTCTGGGTTCAAGCAATTCTCCTGCCTCAGCCTCCCGAGTAGCTGGGACTACAGGCACGCACCACCATGCCCAGCTAATTTTTATATTTTTAGTAGAGATGGGGTTTCACCTTGTTGACCAGGATGGTCTCGATCTCTTGACCTTGTGATCCACCCGCCTCGGCCTCCCAAAGTGCTGGGATTATAGACGTGAGCCACCGCACCCAGCCTGAAAGATCATTTTAATGTGAAGACAGGTTCTTCTAATTATTATATAGTCCTAGTCGTGATGATTATTGGAGTAAAATTTTTTTTCTCTCTGATAGGATGTGATGGAGCTGCTTGAAGAAGATCTCACGTGCCCTATTTGTTGTAGTCTGTTTGATGATCCGCGGGTTTTGCCTTGCTCCCACAACTTCTGCAAAAAATGCTTGGAAGGTATCTTAGAGGGGAGTGTGCGGAATTCCTTGTGGAGACCAGCTCCATTCAAGTGTCCTACGTGTCGTAAGGAAACTTCAGCTACTGGAATTAATAGCCTACAGGTTAATTACTCCCTGAAGGGTATTGTGGAAAAGTATAACAAGATCAAGATCTCTCCCAAAATGCCAGTATGCAAAGTACACTTGGGGCAGCCTCTCAACATTTTCTGCCTGACTGATATGCAGCTGATTTGTGGGATCTGTGCTACTCGTGGGGACCACACCAAGCATGTCTTCTGTTCCATTGAAGATGCCTATGCTCAGGAAAGAGATGCCTTTGAGTCCCTCTTTCAGAGCTTTGAGACCTGGCGTCGGGGAGATGCTCTTTCTCGCTTGGATACCTTGGAAACTAGTAAGAGGAAGTCCCTACAGTTACTGACTAAAGATTCAGATAAAGTGAAAGAATTTTTTGAGAAGTTACAACACACGTTGGATCAAAAGAAGAATGAAATTCTGTCTGACTTTGAGACCATGAAACTTGCTGTTATGCAAGCATATGACCCAGAGATCAACAAACTCAACACCATCTTGCAGGAGCAACGGATGGCCTTTAATATTGCTGAGGCTTTCAAAGATGTGTCAGAACCCATTGTATTTCTGCAACAGATGCAGGAGTTCAGGGAGAAAATCAAAGTAATCAAGGAAACTCCTTTACCTCCCACTAATTTGCCTGCAAGCCCTTTAATGAAGAACTTTGATACTAGTCAGTGGGAAGACATAAAACTAGTTGATGTGGATAAACTTTCTTTGCCTCAAGACACTGGCACATTCATTAGCAAGATTCCCTGGAGCTTTTACAAGTTATTTTTGCCAGTTCTTCTGCTTGGCTTTGTCATTTTCTTTGGTCCTACCATATTCCTAGAATGGTCTTTATTTGATGACCTGGCAACTTGGAAAGACTGTCTTTCAAACTTCAGTTCCTATCTGACTGAATCAGCTGATTTTATGGAACAGTCAGTTTTTTACTGGGAACAGGTGACAGATGGGTTTTTCATTTTCAGTCAAAGATTCAAGAATTTTACTTTGGTGGTACTGAACAATGTGGCAGAATTTGTGTGCAAATATAAACTATTATAAAATCTGTTTCAAATATATGCAGTTCTGTCTTTTGTTAGAAATTGTTGGAGAATAGATAGTAGTAATTCAGATTTGGTCAACGGTTCTAGTCATTTTCCTCCAAAAGTATTCCTTCCAAAAATAATGTTCAAATTAGGTAGCATATATACCATACTGTTCAAATTAGGTAGCATAAAGAGAAAAGTGAAATTTAGTAGTATAGACCTAAACAGCCCCCCCGCTTTTTTTTTTTTTTGAATACAGTGTCTCGCACTCCTGCCTGGGTTGGAGTGCAGTGACATGATCTTGGTTCACTGCAACCTCCACCTCCCAGGTTCAAGTGATTTTCCTGCATTATTAGCCTCTTGAGTAGTTGAGATTACAGGCGCCTGCCACCATGCCCAGCCAATTTTTTTTTTTTTGGTATTTTTAGTAGAGATGGGATTTCACCATGTTGGCCAGGCTGGTCTCAAACCCCTGACCTTGTGATTCACCTGCCTCAGCCTCCCAGAGTGCTGGGATTACAGGTGTGAGCTACTGTGCCCGGCCATGAACCCCTCCCTTTTTTTTAAAGAGTGCTTTTGAAATAAGCATCCACCTCAAATATTGGTTGTATTTATGCTGTGATAAAAATAGGTGAGAGATCATATGATCTAATATTATATTGATGAGGTATAAGTAGTATAATAGTGAATGTTCAAGCATGCAGTAAAGACTACTGTTTTTTTGTTTCGTTTTTTTTTTTTTTGAGATGGGAGTCTTACTGTCACCCAGGCTGGAGTGCAGTGGCGTGATCTTGGCTTACCACAACCTCTGTCTCCCAGGTTTAAGCAGTTCTGCCTCAGCCTCCTGAGTAGCGGGGGTAACAGGTGTGTGCTACCATGCCTGGCTAACTGTTTGTATTTTTAGTAGAGAAAGGGTTTCACTGTTAGCCAAGATGGTCTCAATCATCTGACCTCGTGATCCACCATGCCCAGCCAAAGACTACTCTTAAAGCACTTTTTTTTGACAGTGATCATGCTCTAATGAAATATATTGTAGAAGATTTCACACACACACACACACACACACACACAACTGAAGATACTAATGAATTACATTTCCAAAACTTTCTACAGAGAGCTAATTCCTTTATCCCCAAATTGTGGTACATAAAAAACCTGGCATTTTTTTCTGGTAAGTTTACATTTTTAGGAGAGTGGAGCTTTCAGTCTGCCCTTTTCTCCTTTTTGTAGTTTTCACTGAAGATGATCAACTAGAAATGTTAGGTGGGTGTGCAAGCAAAAGCATAGATAGGTTAAAGAAAGATCCAGTGGCTGGGCATGGTGGCTTATGTCTGTAATCTCAGCATTCTGGGACACTGATGTGGAGGACTGTTTTAGGCTAGGAGTTCCAGTTTGAAACCAGCTTAGTAAACACAGTGAGACCCAGTCTACCAAAAAAAAAAAAAAAAAAAACAACAAAAAAACCTCAAACACATGGCAAGATGAGGAAATGGGAAGACTACCTTTTTTCTGGCAGCTATGTGCTGTGTTTCAAAGATGGCAACTGTACAACCAAACCACTTGCTTACAGAAACAATGTTTAGTGTAGTAAGACTAATTTCAAAACAGATGAAACAGCTATTACAAAGTACAAATTAATCAGCTGAACATTAATGCTGTTGTCTGCTCATATGAGATGAAGATTCTTTCATAAACTCACGTTGCTTAGAATTCATATAACAAAGAACTAACCTTATAACTGCTCTCTAGTCTGCCTTATTTCTGTCATAGAGTGAGATATTCCTTGAAAGCCCATTAAGTAGAATAGACTTTATGAAAATAGAGATATTTACCTCAGTCTTCCTTTAATTTGGTTGAGAGGAGGCAATAAACATGGGGACAGGATAAAAGGTGGCAACTAAATTTAAAGCACAGAAGAAATTATTTCCTTCTAGCTATGAGAAGAGTAAAATTGAGCTTGCCAGGAGAGGTAATGGCTGTCTCATTCCTAACACATAAAATTTAGCCACTAAATTGCTAAGGAGATCATCGTTTAAGTCCAACCCCTGCATAGTAGACAGGAAGTATGGGGAGGGAGAAGTGCTTTTCCCTTCCCAGTAATTTTAAAATGTGTGTGTGTGTAGTTTACCAGGTTTTCATGGCGAATTTTTTACAATGGAAGACAGGAATCCATTTGATGTCTATCTTCAGATATATTGGCAGTTTTCCTTAAACTATTTAGTTCCTCATCTGTTGCTTTTTCATTTTGTATACTGCAAGTTTCCAGGCAACTCAAATTTGCAAACACAGCTATAGAGACACTATTTACCTTACAGTAGTTACCTGGGAATCTAAGTCTCTGGTTTTTGTTATTCTTTCCTCCCCTCCATTGTGTAATCATGTGTGACTAGCAACACTTATGGTAGGTTGATTTCCTCAGTGTGGCTGATGGTAGCCTCTAGTTTGAAGTGAGGGAAGAATGAGTAGTCAGGAACTGGTCACTTAGAATGTGGGAGGAAAGATACTCATGACAAGGTTTTCTATGATAAAGCTGTTTCCTTCTCGTTTGGCATGCATGTTAGATGGCAGAGACCAAGAATTCAAGATGGTCGGTGGCCAGATTTTTGTAGACAGAGATGGTGTTTTATTTAGATTCATCTTAGATTTTCTGAGAACTCACCAGCTTTTATTACCCACTAACTTTTCAGACTATGTTAGGCTTTTGAGAGAGGCTCTTTTCTATGAACTTCATTCTCTGGTTGATCTCTTAAACCCATACCTGCTACAGCCAAGACCTGCTCTTGTGGAGGTGCATTTCCTAAGCCAGAACACTCAAGATTTTTTCAGGGTGTTAGGCTCCTGCAGCAAAACAATTGAGATGCTAACTGGGAGGATTACAATGTTTACAGAACAACCTTCAGCACCAACCTGGAGTAGTAACTCTTTCCCACCTCAGATGACCTTACTTCCACTGCCTGCCACAAAGACCTTCTTCCATGACCTGGTTTTCCAGGTCTGACAACCAGACTGGTGTCAGGTATTTTGTACTTTGCAGTATCTCTCTTGTATATCAGGTTGTGATGTTTCCCTCAAAATTTGAAGTTTCTCAGGCCTGCCACTTCTCCTGTAAAAGATGATTATTCAAAATCATGTTTTGGGGTAACTAGTGGAGTTGGAAATGACCAAATAATTATTTTCCAAACTGGGATACATTTTAGAAGGAAAGGGGCTACTAGGTGGGACAAAATGAATAAATGAAGACTGCCTAGAAAAAACTGGGACTATGGACATTCAAATAATGGGAGAAAATAATTTTATAGATTATGTTCCATTGCTAATGAATTGAACTTAGAAAAGAATTGCGTTATTTTTAAAAGATTCTTTCAGTGGTTCACATAAAGGCTTACTCACTGGTTTCTCTTGATTTCTTATACACTATATAATTTGTTCTTTCAGTTCTTATGATTCAACTACTGTTTTTTATTCAGCTGACTTTATTTTTAAACATCCTTAAAGACATATCTCATGGCAAATTTGGTATCCTGTTACAGCCTTGGCTCTTAAACAACTCAAAATATTGGGATAGGCTGTCAGTATGTTAAGGATAGTTGCTCCTGAGTTAATTCTTTACTTTCTCCCTCTGTTATTCTTGGCTGGATCCTAAGACTGATTTCCACTCTGCTGTCACAAACATTTCTTCCCCCTGTAAAATGTCTTAATGCTGTCCTACCATTATTTTACCAACTGTGAAAGCTGGCTTTAATTTTTTTTTTTTTTTTTGAGATGGAGTTTCGCTCTTGTTACCCAGGCTGGCGTGCAATGGCGCAATCTTTCGGCTCACCGCAACTTCCACCTCCTGGGTTCAGGCAATTCTCCTGCCTCAGCCTCCTGAGTAGCTGGGATTACAGGCACATGCCACCATGCCCAGCTAATTTTTTTGTATTTTTAGTAGAGACGGGGTTTCCCCATGTTGACCAGGATGGTCTCGATCCCTTGACCTCGTGATCCACCTGCCTCAGCCTCCCAAAGTGCTGGGATTACAGGTGTGAGCTGGCTTTCATTTTTAGGAGGAAAAGAAAATCCTGCATGTGTTCTTTATTGGTAGCATTTAAAATATACTTTTTTTGGTAAGGGTAGCCATATTTTAAGATATTTTCTTAACTTCAGCAGTAGCCAACAGGAAGGATACCAGTGTCTCTCTTAACAACACATCCTTTGGTCTTGCTTACCAACTGGAGGACACTAGGTAATATAACCATGTATGACCATTCTTAAGTGTTTACAATTTATAACTTCCTGTCCATCCAAAGAGGTTGAAATATTTTGGGGAAAAAAGAGCTAGCTAAGCTAGTAGGTTGATTGTGAAGAAAACCGAATGCCTTATCTTTATCTCAAACCTCAGTACAACTTTATTATCATTGATGGGATACTTAAGAAAACGATCATTTTTTTGGTTTTTAAAATTTGAGTGATTATGACCTCTTTGGGGATCATGCTTCAAAAAGTCAGAAACCTAAAGAAAAAAAGTGTCATTGATTTTAAGAAGAAACACAGTAGGTCAAAAGAAGATGTCCTGGAAATACAAAATAATCTTTAAAAACCATAAATTTGGAGAAAGTAATTGTTACTTGAAAAACATGACTAGAAACTAAAACTGGGATTTTAGTGTGTACACAGTGCCAAATGGTTTCCCCTTTTTATGTTACATGTTTGTGTTTTAGAAAGAGCACAAAAGTTTTACCCATCATAATGTAAGAAAGACATTAAATTTAGACGTCCATAATAATTCCAAAACCAGAAGCTATTTTAAAATTAGCATGTACTTGCATCACCAAATGGTATTCAATTGTTTGAAGCTCAAAATTTTTTCCATAAATGTTTGTCAATTTTTAGACAGTACCAATGTAAAAGTAGAGATAGCCAATCCGAATACAGTGACATTATGGGTATCTCCAGTGATTGGGATGAAAACTCTGGCCTTAAAAGGTCCACCTGTAGTATATAATTGCCTAACTAGCAATAATTTTTATTTTTTGCTCACTCCCTGGTCTAAATCTGTCTATTCAGATATTTTTGGAAGGTTTGGAAAATGGAGAAGTGAGCCTAAATGGTGCCCAATCGTCTGGTGTATCATTCACCATATTCATTTTGTGCCATCAATATGTTTTATCACTCAGGGTTATCCTAGCAGGTTGCTCTGTTATTATCTCTCAAGTTCACAGTACTAGAAGTACTTCGCTTGCATCTTTCAGATGGCCTTTCATGTGATACCACGTTATCAATCTCAAGTTATGGTTGGTCACAGGATTCTAGAGTCTTTATTTGACTTCTTTTTGAACTGGCTCAAATGGAAAAGTGTAGTTGCTTTTAAATTTTAAAAATAAGTTTAGACTTTCTACTTCTTATTCGTTTCTTCTATTCTGTCCTTTCTTTGTGTGCCCTGAAATCTTTTTATTTTTCAATTTGTCCTCAAAGGGAGTCAAGTATTTTTTAGTTGGTGATTTCTTGCAAGTACATTCCACTTTGTTACCACCTACTATCTGTATATACTATTTGTATCTTAATTCTTTTATGAGATATTCTGTAACATTTTTTCTCTTAGACAAACATTTCTAGACTATACAGTCAAGATCTGGGGCTTGGGGGTAAATGAAATGATTTGCTAATATTGAGAATCTGTTGTATCAAACATAATAAACATTTTTTGAGATGTGCTTTGCAGTTTGATAATTTTTAGATTTTACTATTGGTTTCTTTGCCTAGAATGAGTTTCTAAATGTAAGCTACAAAAACCACTCTACTTCAAGCATGATCATTAGAAGGTTAGGGATGTCCCCAGGTATCCTTTTATCCCTTAAAACTACAGATAGTTTAGGTTTCTGCTTGAACTAATCTAAGTTAGCCTTTTCTTTTGGGCCAGAGTGCAGTGGCACCATCTCAGCTAACTGCAACTTGGGCCAGAGTGCAGTGGCACCCTCTCAGCTAACTGCAACTTGGGCCAGAGTGCAGTGGCACCATCTCAGCTAACTGCAACTTGGGCCAGAGTGCAGTGGCACCATCTCAGCTAACTGCAACTTGGGCCAGAGTGCAGTGGCAACATCTCAGCTAACTGCAACTTGGGCCAAAGTGCAGTGGCACCATCTCAGCTAACTGCAACTTGGGCCAGAGTGCAGTGGCACCATCTCAGCTAACTGCAACTTGGGCCAGAGTGCAGTGGCACCATCTCAGCTAACTGCAACTTGGGCCAGAGTGCAGTGGCACCATCTCAGCTAACTGCAACCTCTGCCTCCTGGGTTCAAGAAAGTCTCCTGCCTCAGCTTCCCAAGTAGCTGGGATTACAGGCACCCCCACCATGCCAAGCTAAGTTTTTGAATTTTTTTTTTGTGGCGGGGGGGACAGAGTCTTGCTCTGTTGCCTAGGGTGGAGTACAGTGGCATGATCTCAGCTCACCACAACCTCCACCTTCCAGGTTCAAGTGATTCTCCTGCCTCAGTCTCCCGAGTAGCTAGGACTACAGGCATACAGCATCATGCTCAGCAAATTTTTGTATTTTTAGTAGAGACATGATTTTACTATGTTGGCCAGGCTGTTCTTGAACTCCTGACCTTATGATCTGCCCACCTCGGCCTCCCAAAATGCTAGAATTACAGGCATGAGCCATACACCCAGCATAAGTTAGCTATTTCTTCATATCTCATAAACAAATGGTGGGAGGACACAAAGAGTTTTATGAAAACATCTTTGATGGCAGATAAGAAAGGAGTCAAAGAGCTGTATCCACGCAGATGTGTTATGCTGACAATATTAAAGGCAACAGATAGCTAATCTGAAAAGTTCATGTGCATTTTTCTTGAACTGGTTTTGTATACTACATTGATTCTGTGGAGCAGCTCAGGGAATAGATTTTGCTCTTTCCACTCCAGAGGCTTTTGTACTTTTTTTTTTTTCTGAGATGGAGTTTCACTCATTTACCCAGGCTGGAGTACAGTGGTGCAATGTCAGCTCACTATTACCTCCACCTCCTGGGTTCAAGCAATTCTCCTGCCTCAGTCTACCAAGTAGCTGAGATTACAGGCACCTGCCACCACACCTGGCTAATTTTTTTGTACTTTCATTAGAGACAGGGTTTCACCATGTTGGCCAGGCTGGTGGTCTTGAACTCCTGACCTCAGGTGATCTGCCTGCCTCGGCCTCTCAAAGTGCTGGGATTACAGGTGTGAGCCACTGCACCGGGCTTTTGCTTTTTTTTTCTAAAGTAGAGATGGGGTTTCACTATGTTGGTCAAGCTGGTATCAAACTCCTGATCTCAAGTGATCCACCCACCTGAGCCTCCCAAAGTGCTAAGATTACAGGCATGAGCCACCGAGGCTGGCCCAATCCAGAGGCTCTTGACCCCAAGTTGTGCTCTTTGACAATGGAAAGTTATTGCATAAAAAATGACAATAAAAATCTTCTTGATATTTTATATATGCAAAATTTCACCTGAAAAAAAAAAAAAGGTGGATTTGATAGGAATAAGTCACAAAGAAAAATCCATAATGTCACTACTAATAATTGATAAGACTAGATCTGGAGGGGAAATTGTAAGTGCACAGCATTCATTAAAATGTTTGATTTAATCAACTAAATCAAAAGTAGCAAATTCAAAACAAAATTGAAAAGTTACATAAAAAAATAAGACAATTTAATTGTTTGATCAAACTGTTTTCTTTAGAAAATAATCTCTCAAATTGATGAGTGTTGGTTTACTTCTAAATATGGAATTGAAATTACTCTCAAAATCACAGCAAGGTCTTGATTTTCAGCCCCTGAAATTATTGATTGGAATTTTTCAATTAAATCTCAAAAAAAAGTCTGTCTTGAGATGGTATGATGCCTGTAAGGTTGTAAGTAAAATTTATGTGTGTAGTTTTGCTAGTTATTAAAGGGATGCATTATAATTAAGCTTTTTCTGTGTCCTCGGTATGTTTCTCTAAAACCTGATAACGGAAAATTGGCCAATGGAACAAATGTCCTCGGCTTATTGATTGACACTGTATTAAAGGAAGGCTTTCATTTGGTCAGTACTAGAACAGTATCCTCTTAAGACAAAACTGAATACTATAGCTTTGAAAGGATAAAAAGCCCTGAAGCACTCATCATCAATGAAACACCAAAACCGGCCAGGTGCGGTGGCTCAAGCCTATAATCCCAGTACTTTGGGAGGCCGAGGCGGGTGGATCATGAGGTCAAGAGATCGAGACCATCCTGGTCAACATGGTGAAACCCCGTCTCTACTAAAAATACAAAAAATTAGCTGGGCATGGTGGCGCGTGCCTGTAATCCCAGCTACTCAGGCGGCTGAGGCAGGAGAACTGCCTGAACCCAGGAGGCGGAGGTTGCGGTGAGCCGAGATCTCACCATTGCACTCCAGCCTGGGTAACAAGAGCGAAACTTCTCAAAAAAAAAAAAAAAAAAGAGAAAAAGAAATACCCAAACCAGAGACTATCATCATACCAGAACAATCTCAGATAAATAAATGAAGTTGTCTGTTCTCTTGTAAATAGAAATTTCCATTTTTTTGTTTCATTACATATTTAGGGCATATGTGTTAGCCAAATCTATACTCAGCCTAACTCTTGGCTTCACCTGCTACCATGCAGTCTCTGGGCAGCCAGACCCCAACCGTGCTTAAGCCATAATGATTGGTGCTCTCTAGACAACTCCATGTACTTGGTGCTTTGGTATATGTCCTACCTTCAATACATCTTTCCATTTTTCTTCTCCATGAAGGCTTATGAGCCAAGATTATGCCTATAATCCCAGCACTTTGGGAGGCCGAGGCGGGTGGATCACGAGGTCCAGAGATCGAGACCATCCTGGTCAACATGGTGAAACCCCGTCTCTACTAAAAATACAAAAAATTAGCTGGGCATGGTGGCGCATGCCTGTAATCTCGGCTACTCAGGAGGCTGAGGCAGGAGAATTGCCTGAACCCAGGAGGCGGAGGTTGCAGTGAGCCTAGATCGCGCCATTGCACTCCAGCCTGGGTAACAAAACTCCATCTCAAAAAAAAAAAAAAAAAAAAAAATTAGAAAAAATTGATCCAACTGCTGGATACCCTAAGTACCCTGACTTGATCATTACACATTCTATGCATGTAACAAAATATCACATGCACCCCATAAATATGTACAAATATTACATAATTTTCCCTGTTATGTTTGTTTCAGCATGTTTATTTTTATTTTTGAGACGGAGTTTCTCTCGTTACCCAAACTGAAGTGCAATGGCATGATCTCGGCTCACCACAACCTCTGCCTTCTGGGTTCAAGCAATTCTCCTGCCTCAGCCTCCCGAGTAGCTGGGACTACAGGCGCGCACCACCATGCCCAGCTAATTTTTAAATTTTTAGTAGAGACGGGGTTTCACCTTCTTGACCAGGATGGTCTCGATCTCTTGACCTCGTGATCCACCCGCCTCGGCCTCCCAAAGTGCTGGGATTATAGGCGTGAGCCCCCGTGCCCAGCCTCAGCATGTTTTTATAACTCACAGTTTCATTTCTGACAAGGCATCAAAGATTTATTTATTTAATACTCTTTATATAATACTCTGTCACCAGGCCAGAGTGCAGGAGTTGGAAGATGTAGTGAGTTCTGGCGTAATCATAACTTACTGCGCAGCCTCAAACTCTTGGGCTCAAGTGATCCTCCCACCTCAGCCTCCCAAGTAGCTGGGACTCTATAGGTGCACACCACCATGCCAGGGTTGTTATTTTTTACTTTATGTAGAAACCAGGTCTCACATGTTGTCCATAGTCCTGGCCTTAAGTGATTCTCCCATTTTGGCCTCTCAAAGCACTGGGATTACAGGTGTGAGCCACCATGCCTCGCCAAGGCACCAAGATTTTAGCTTATGATTCTTGAACCTCAATAATTTACCTGATAAGTGATTAGAAGTTCTCCCTACAAACATTTTCTGAAAAAGAGCTCTAATGCTTAATTACTCTTGGATTTAATATACAAATGGTAATTATAAAGAGTTCTTAGGGTATGGTAAAATCAAGATTAATTCAGGCTTTTTTTTTTTTTTTTGAGACGGGGTCTCTGTTACCCAGACTGTAGTGCAGTACTGCGATTTCAGCTCACTGAACCTCCACCTCCCAGGTTCAAGCAATCCTCCCACTTCAGCCTCCTGAGTGGCTAGGACTACAGGCACGTGCCACCACTCCTAGATAATTTTTTGTATTTATGATAGAGGTGATATTTCACCATGTTGTCCAGACTGGTCTCGAAGACTGACCTCAGATGATCCACCCACTTCAGACTCCCAAAGTGCTGGGATTACAGGCATGAGCCACTGTGCCTGGCCTATTTGGGCTGCTTTAAAAATGTATTTGAAATTAGGAGCCTGAAGTAGTATCAAATGGTCACAAGAAAGCAGCTTGAGAAATATATGGTTTAGGGAATCATAATCTATTTCTAATTTGTCCTATATACCATTTTCAACTGACAAACTTCAGCTTTGCTTTATAAACTTTTGTACTGATTCTCTGTCATAAATCACAGAAATGTTCATATCAATAGAGAATTATCCCACTAGAGACTATGCTGGGGTAATAAAAGATTTGCAAAGAGCACTCAATCTCCTGTATTTTACTATTTTTCCTCTGGGCTAGGAAAGTTGACTGTTTAGCAAGTTACAATGCAACTGTGAGGAAATTTTCTAAAATAATTTCCTAAAATTTATGAAATTTATTACCTTCCTGGAGCCAAAGGACCCATGGGAGAGAGCAGACTTAGCATATTTTTTAGACAGAGTTTCACACTTATTGCCCAGGCTGGAGTGCAATGGTGTGATCTCGGCTCACTGCAACCTCCACATCCTGAGTTTAAGCAATTCTCTTCAGCCTCCCAAGTAGCTGGGATTACAGGCATGTGCCACCATGCCCAGTTAATTTTTTATTTTTAGTAGAGATGAGGTTTCTCCATGTTGGTCAGGCTGGTCTTAAACTTCCGACCTCAGGTGATCTGCCCACCTTGGCCTCCCAAAGTGCTGGGATTACAGGCATGAGCCACCTCACCTGGCTGCCCAGACTTAGCATTTCTAAACAAATGCTCAGAAATAAAGAGAGGAAATTTTAAAATTACAAAATAAATACTTATATTTCTGGAATATCAATGTCCTAGTAAAAAACACAAGTACTGGGCTGGGCATGGTGGTTATAATCCCAGCGTTTTGAGAGGTCAGGACAGGAGGATCCTTGAGCCCAGGAGTTTGAGATCAGGTTGGGCAACAGAGTGAGACCCCCATCTCTATTTGAAAACAACATTAACAACAACAACAACAAAAAACTCCAAAAAACTGCAATTACCAGCTTTGCTATAGAACTATACCTCAAGACTTATTAGGATTTCTAGCCAGGTGTGGTGGCTCATGCCTGTAATCCTAGCACTCTGGGACACCAAGGCGGGCAAATCACCTGAAGTCAGGAGACCAGCCTGGCCAGCATGGTGAAACCCTGTATCCACCAAAAATTACAAAAATTTGCTGAGCATCGTGGCATGTGCCTGTAGTCCCCAGCTACTCAGGAGGCTGAGACAGGAGAGTCGTTTGAACTTGGGAGGTGGAGGTTGCAGTGAGCTGAGATTGTGCCACTGCACTCCAACCTAGGTGACAGAGTGAGATTCTGTCTCAAAAAAAATATTATTAGAATTTCTGTTGGGCCTATTATAAAGGAAAAGTACAATTTTTTATGAAAAAACTCATCATCTAAAATGCCTTAATATTTAATTATGAGATAGATTCAATCACAAAAATATTTTCATGGATAAAAAGCTAAAGTCTCACATGGGTGAAAATGGAAAATGGATATTAAGCATGGCACAGAATAAAAAGAGAACTAAACATGTAGCAAAATAATTAAGACCTTGCTCCCAAAACTAAACTGTACTGAAGACTTGTTTAACCACACAACGGGTTTTAAGTAGGTAGTCTTCTGCACCTTCATATTTCACATCAAAACCTCAAAATCCAGAAATCATTAAAACAAATGGCTTTTTATTTAAAAAATGGCTTTTTATCAACAGGGTAAAACATACCAAATAACTTTCTATTTCATATTATTCTTCATCATTTCACAACACTTCTGGAAAGAATGTGAATTTCTTTGGGTTCATGAGTATGAGGCCAAATAGGAAAGATTTATTTTACTCTTTTGATTTTGGTTTTGTTGTTGGTGGTTTGTGTGTGTGTGTGTGTGTGTGTGTGTGTGTTTTTTTTTTTGAAGCAGTATTTCACCCTGTCACCCAGCTAGAGTGCAATGGTGCTACAATGGCTCACTGTAACCTCAAAATCCAGAGCTAAAGCTATCCTCCAGCCTCAGTCTCTTGAGTACCTGGGACTAAAAATGCATGCCACCATGCCTGACTAATTTTTTCTTTTTGTAAAGATGAAGTCTTACTGTGTTGCCCAGGCTGGTCTTAAACTTATGGGCTCAAGCAGTCCTTCCACCTTACCTTCCCAAAGTGTTGGGATTACAGGCATGTGCCACTGCACCTGGTCTACCCTTTTTGTAACAAGAGACCTCCAAAGAAATCTGGCTGCAATGTTTAAGGTTCCATGAGTTCTTTTAAGATAAGGACTGAGACTATGCTATAGTGGTCTTCATACTCCCCAACAGTGTTGTGCATCTAACAGGCTCAAGTGAGCTGAACTGAAACATTTGCAAACTATGGTCTCCAAGTCAACAGACGCTTGGAAAAACAAGATTTATAGTAGATTCAAAGATGGATGAGGACAGTTTAAATAATACAGTCTGAAAGAGTTGATTCAAGTTACAGATTACAGAAAGCACCCCAGAGTATCTTCAATTAGAAGTTTACTTGGGTAATGCCACATGGAAATGTGATGAAAATATAAATGTTTATAGGGATATAAACTTGTTGCAAATTACACAAAACTGTACATTTAAAGAGTAAAATAGTCCAGTTAAAATTGAGATATACCTAATTTGCTAAGAAAAATGTAATGCTACAAGAGTGCTTAGCAATTAAAAAAACTAAGAGAATGTAAATTCAAAATGAATGTCACATGACTATAATTGATAGTAAATCTTTACTTACCTCCATAACTTAGGAGTCATGAAAAGAAAGGAGAAGTTAGCAGACCAGGCAGGTAAGTCAGATGTAAATAGAATAGAAATACAAAAATATTCCCAGTTCTGGATAACCCAATTTGAGGTCATAGGTTTACTGACTTTGGATTAATCAAGTGGTCCAAGAATTAAGGTAAAATGGTCCAAAAGATCCTGATATACCCAGAAGACATATTACTGAGGTTTTATAAGACTAATTTGAAAATGCAGATTAACATTTTAAGGCTTCCTTACATATCATTAAAAAAGACCATATTAAAAATCAATTTCAGAAGCTGTTTTATGACTAGAATAAAAAAACAAAGACATAGAATAACATCGTATTTCTGTCTGATGCTGGGAGGCTATTTCTTATGGCAAGTAATAACTGGGTAAACGGTGATACTAACTTTACAAACAGGAATCCCACAAAACAAGGTTTTGCTTCTAGAAAACCAAAATATTTGCTTTCAATTAATTTACTAAAAATGGTTGCATTGGTCACTTTTTAAACTCCTACAATCTAAGCATCACTGAATTCCTATTTGATTTTTTTTGGCTAAAAGTTTTCTTCAGAAGCAAACCTGCTTTAGGGTGAGAAAAAGTTTCAGACCTTAGACAGAACCTTCATTTCCTCTTGTGTGCTTCTCCATCAAAAACAAGTATTCAAATAAGGAATCTCAATTATCTAAACCTATTTTTGGCCATCTTCCGGAATTTCTTGTTAAATCTCCTTTGAAATGCCACAGTCGCACTCTTGGAAAACTTGTCTTCCTGGTTTTCAAATTTCTGTTTATTATTACAGCTCTTCAGCTAGAATGCCAGGTCTTTGTGCTGTACTGTTTCTTGAAACTGGAGACTAGCACACTTCCCCCAATTCAATTACTTGCTTTCCATTTGAGAAATTAAAGCCATGTCAATTTTATAAAGTTTTAACTGACTGAATTATTTGGACTTTAAGTTCTCATTTTCATTCCCTTAGCCTAATACTGGGAAAGATCTTCATTTTACTAAGAGAAAGTAAGGTTCAAGAGTATTATTAACATGTTTCAGTCACTGATTCTCATAACTGATGTAAGTGTAGGGATTTTCTAACAGGCACAGGCTGGAGATACGACACTATAAAAAAAGGTAGAGTTATTCAATTTTAAAAATGTCTAAGATTACATACCTAATGAAATTGTTTATTTACTTAGAAAGGGACCTACAGTCCTTCATAAAGAGCTTCAGTCAGCTTTTCTAGCCTTATCAACTTTATGTAACTGCCAAATTTACCTTTCCAGCCTGACTTTTACATGAAACTCCAGTTTTGTATATCCAGGGACCTTAAATGAAGGCATTTCAAACTTAATGTCTAAATATCAAAAATACATTGCAAAAATGGGACATATTTCCCCTTAGTTTCCTTTTCTTTCTTCTCTTCTTTTCCTTACCTTTCCTTTCTCTTTTTTTTTTTTTTTTGGACAGAGTCACTCTATCACCCAGGCTGGAGTGTAGCAGCAGGAGCCTCCACTGCCTGGGATCAAGTGATTCTCCTGACTCAGTCTCCCGAGTAGCTGGGATTACAGGCATGAGCCACCACATCCAGCTGATTTTTGTATTTTTAGTAGAGGTGGGGTTTCACCATGTTGGCCAGGCTGGTCTCGAACTCCTGACCTCACATGATCCGTCCACCTCTGCCTCCCAAAGTATTAGGATTACAGGCATGAGCCATGGCCTGGCCTTAAACTACTTTCTTGCCTCCTTTTTTCTAGTGATACTGTCACTGTCTTCCAGTATAGAAAACGTATAATCTTTTACACCTCCCATTTATCCAACCCATCATGATGTTCAAAAATTTTTTCTTTGAAATATCTCAAATTTATTATGTCACCTCCATTTCTCATGCCACTATTGCTGTTCAGGTTTTTTTCACCCCTAGATTACTGTAATAGTCATATGCCCAGTTTCCTTGCTACCATACTTGACTTCTTAGACACTTCTATATATAGTATTGCCGCATTTAATTCCAAACAAGTCAACAGGCTATAATGCTCCCTATTCCCTGCTACATCAAGACTAAAATCCTCTAATTGGTTTTCCAGGCAAAGCTCAATAGCCTAGTTTTAACCTAGCTATGCAAATTCATGTAACCTTTGCTTCAGGTTTTATGGCACAGATCCCAGGTTACTTCTGGGGGAATGCTACATTCAATTTTGGCTTAAATTCCTACCTACAATCCAGACAAGTCCATACTTGACAACTCAGTGCATCTTAATTTACAAGCATGCGGACCACAAATTATAAAATGAAGACATTTTTACTGAGTCAGCAGAAACAACTGTTCAATTCTCCTGCAAGTCCCCAGAGTTACTTACAGTTTTCTGCTGAGGGGATCATCTCATGTGGCATTTATTGCCCTCTACTAAAGTGAGCTATTGTCTGACACTCTGCTCTGTACAGACGTCTTGTTTCTGTTTCCAGTTTCAGTTCCTTCTCCACATGGTCTAAGTACCAGTAGTTTAGTCAGTTCTCACCTTTTTTGAGGGGAGGGTAGCAATGGTGATATCAAAATTTACACCTGGAAAACAGGTCATAAAGAAAATCAATATAGAAGGTAAAGTGCTTTATCACAGGAATTATTATTTAATTGCTGGTTGAATTCTTGACTTTTGTTTAAAAGGTAAATATAACAAATATGTCAGCCACCCTCAAAGCCAAACCAAAACCAACAGCAACAGACTTTTCAATCAATGTAATTTATTCACCGAGTTCTAGAAAACAGACATAAATGTCCTATAAATTTTATATAAATGCTATACAAGGATACATAAAAATGAATCCTTATTATGACTTAAATGTCACAGCGGTAAACAAACAGTAATTATTTGATCCACAACTTTCTTTGCCTTTTTATATATTTTTTAAGTTTTGGTGTGACTTGCCTGGTTTGTTTCTTTTTTAAAGGCAGAGCTGGGAAGAGCAGGAAAGGCATTTGGTTTCTTATAAACCTGTCTAAGAAAATTTATGAGAAAGCCTATTATCACTCAATAAGGTGACTCCAGGAAGTTCAGGCATTCAAAAGCATTCCATTAATTTTAGAGTAACCATAAAGAATTACAGCAAATCCTTAATGCTTTTATTTCTGTGATTATGGTAATGGTGTTTCTTGAAAAATATTTTTAAATGTAGGGATTCTTTATACCACTACCATTTCCTATCTCCTCAGAGATACACAACTAAAGGCCAAAAAATAAGATTTAAACTTTATAGGATTTCACACTTCATTGGAAAGGTTAGAAATTATCAGTTAGATCACTAATAACCTCCAAAAAGATATGGAAATTTTATAGGCCTGATTATTCATACCCCTATCCACATGTTTCTGGTTTTGGTGGAAAAAAAATGATATTTTAAGGTAGCTGAGACCTGAGGAATGAATGTTAATAGCTGGCATAGAATGAGAAGAGCTCTGGTCAGTGAAGTAGTAAAAGGTAGAGCACTCCTAAATTATCTGGAAATAACCTGCATATTTCTATTTTTGTCTAGCTGGCATGTAGCCTTTCTACTACTTTACCATGAAGGTATTACTGCTGATTTTCAGCATCAATGGTCACTTGTTTAACACCCACTATGTTTAAGACACTAGGCTAGTCTCGCAGAATATACAATAAAGAGTAAGATGGCCCCTTCCCATAAGGCAGTATGTATTTGTTCTAAGTCAGGTATGGAAGCTCAAATGAGAGAAATGGTATTTTTTTGGCTGAGGAGGAAAAGTGAACTGGAAAAATTTCATGTAGGCGGTAAACAGCATTAAGGTTTAGACAACTGAAGATGAGTGAAAGGACATTCTAGTAGTAAATAATGTGAGCTAAGGCTTAGATGAAAATCTGAGGTTTGAAAAAATATTTCTCTTTGGTTTAACAACAGTATTATGGTACTCATTCACAATTATTATTATTGTGGGAAAGTCAATTATTCCCACAGTGGTAAAGTCAATCTTACCTAAGGCAAAAAATATCCTAGATAGTAGCATTTTGCCTAGGCAACCCTTTCCTCTCAAGATTTCTCACCTGATTTGCTGAGTTAAAAGCCACAGACCCCCAATTATTTAAGGTAAACTTATTTATGCCTAGGTTTCCTTTCAGTATTTCTTACAAGTTTTTGTTTTCTTTTTTTCTTCAAAGCAACACACCATGGCTCTCGAAGGGCTGCAGGCAATCTGAATACCCTTGTTTTCTTTGATTAGAAATGAGGGTACCTTATACAAAGGAAGGAAAACAATCTCAAACCTGGGTAGACTCATTTCCCTACCAATTCCCTAATATCTACTCTTTGCCTTCATTCTACTGTATCTACTCCTTCCTACTTCATCATGTCTTGGTTCATGTTGTTTTCTGCACTTGCAAGTTATCATTCCTTCATTTCACATAATCAGTCTTAACCACTTTTTAAGCCCAGCTCATCTTTCCTATCTTTTTTTTGAGACAGTTTTGCTCTTGTTGCCCAAGCTAGAGTGCAATGGTGCAGTCTTGCTCACTGCAACCTCCGCCTCCCGGGTTCAAGTGATTTTCCTGTCTCAGCCTCCCAAGTAGATGGGATTACAGGTGCACACCAACACACCCAGCTAAATTTTGTATTTTTGAAGAGACGGGGTTTCACCAGGTTGGCCAGGCTGGTCTTGAACTCCTGACCTCAGGTGATTCACTCGCCTCAGCATCCCAACCTCAGGTGATTCACTCGCCTCAGCCTCCCAAAGTGCTGGGATTACAGGCATGAGCCACTGCACCCAGCCTCATCTCAGTTTATAAGTCTTCTCTGATAGGTTTAAGTCCCCATTTCCTTTGAGCTTCTACCACACTTCAGGTTAGCAAGCCAGAAATTACATTCCATTATTCTCCCCTTGTTTATTGTATGTTAGTATAATATTCCCATATAGGTTAACAGTTCTTTGCTGGCAGGGACCATCTTTTATAGACTATAGTGAAGTACTGGGCCTAGAATAGGCCCTTAATAATAAAGATATGTCACTTTCAAAATGCAAGCAGAGGCCAGGCGCAGTGGCTCATGCCTGTAATCCCAGCACTGGCAGGCTGAGGTGGGCGGATCACCTGAGGTAGGGAGTTTGAGACCAGAATGACTTACACAGAGAAACCTCGTCTCTACTAGAAATACAAAATTAGCTTGGTGTGGTGGCACATGCCTGTAATCCCAGCTACTGGGGAGGGTGAGGTGGGAGAATCTCTTGAACCTAGGAGGTGGGGAGAGTGCAGTGAGCTGAGATTGCATCATTGCACTCCAGTCTGGGTAAAAAGAGCGAGACTCTGTCTCAAACAAAATAACTAAATAAAAATTTAAAAATAAAAATGCAAGCAGAAAACATGGCATTTAAAAGTAGTATTTTAACAATAACTTATTAAATAAAACTATATTCATTCTTCCTTTCAGAATTTGAAACCTCAAATTATTACCATCTCAGATCATCATGCTATTAAAAAGTAGATCTGCGTATGAATGAAACTGTCAAACTCTATCACTTACACAGAACAGGGTCATGAACAAAAGCAGCAGTCATTCTTGATAACCCAATCCCCTCTGAACCAAACAATTTCTGGCAGTAGGAGAGATTTACAAGTACATAGCCTTGCTAACAACTAACAGGTTATAATGGAAAAGGTTTGTAATTTTAATCCTTTAGAGTGTACATCTTTAAATTGCGTAGGGAAATCATAAATACAATGTGATTTTGTTCAGTTTGGAAAAAAATAAAATTATTCAAGTTGAAGCTTTAGTTAACCTGCATTAGTCACTAGCAATCTACTTAAAAAAAAATGTTGATCTTAGGAAAAACTGTAATCAAACATCCTTGGCTTAAAACTCCTTCAGCACAATTTTTAAAACCTCTATACCCGTATCACATAATACAGTAGTTCACCCTTATGTACAGGGTATACATTCCAAGACCGCCAGTAAATGCCTGAAACTGTGCAGAGTATGAAACTTTATACATATATGCTATGAGCTTTCAAATACATATATATCTATGATAAAGTTTTATTTATAAATTAGGCACAGTAAGATTAATAAGAATAACAGCAAAATAAAACAATTTAATAAAATGCAGGCATCACTACTCTTGCACTTTGGGGCTATTATGAATAAGAGTTACTTGAACACAAGCACTGCCATCCCAGGACAAAGGATCTGATAACCATGATGGCTACTAAGTAACTAACAGGCAAGTAGTGTCTATAGCATAGTACAGATACAGTGGAAAAAGAGATGATTGCCTTCCTAGAAGATGGTGCAAGATTTCATCATGCTACTCAGAATGACACATAATTTAAAATCTAAGCATTGTTTATTTCTTGAGCTTTTTCATTTAATATTTCTCGACTTCAGTTGACTGCATGTAACTAAAAATGTAGAAAATGGGAGACACTACTGCACTGTATAAGACTGGATAATAAGGTACATCTTTATTTATAAAATGTAATAATATTCAACATACTTTTTTTTGAGATGGAGTTTCACTCTTGTTGCCCAGGCTGGAGTGCAATGGCTCAATCTCGGCTCACTGCAACCTCCGCCTCCTGGGTGCGATTCTCCTGCCTCAGCCTCCCCAGTAGCTGAAATTACAGGCATGTGCCACCACACATGGCTAATTTTGTATTTTTAGTAGATATGGGATTTCTCCATGTTAGTCAGGTTGGTCCCAAACTCCCGACCTCAAGTGATCTTCTGCCTCAGCCTCCCAAAGTGCTGGGATTACAGGTGTGGGCCACTGAGCCCAGCCAAGATAGTTTCTATAATGGTAAAGTTAAATACAATTTCCAGAATTCTAAGATGATACTGAATTTTCCAAATAAATCTACGAGTTTATATTTGTTTCTGTCTGCTATTTTAAGTAATAGTATACTAAATGTTTGTAAAATAAATATGTTGAAGGCTGCCTTTTAATATTATAAAAATTTGTGACAAGACAGGGTCAAGTTCAATATCTTAAAATTTAAAAGCTTGGACAAAGACAGTAACTTGCTTAAGGTCTCCCAACTAAGCAATGGCAGAGCCAATTTTCAAGTATTTGCATATGATCACAATTAACTTCTCTGGGATAGAAACAGTTTAAGCTTCTGTTTACACTGTCATTCCTCTGGCAAAGTTACCAAGCTACCTAAAATAGTTCTTTAGCATAATATTCAGAAATATAAATTTTATTGTAGCACATTATAACCTTTTATTCTGCTTCATTTCATGGCCTTCTAAACCTGTGGGTAAGCTTTAGCTTCTTGTACATGCTCAATTGTTATCTTAATAAAATGCATCCCAATGACACTGAAGAGACTGGTAACAGAGGCAAGTACCTCTGAACAAAGAGACTTGTTGGATGAATGAATAGCTGTACACACATAACTGAGAAGTAAGAAAAGTTTCATTGTTTGAGACTTTAAAAATGAGGACAATGCAGAAAATAACTTATAGATTCTCAACATGAGCATCATCAAATTAATCTAATGAACATTTTCACTTATAATTTGTATTTTCACTTTATTTTGCATATTAATTCTTGTATGAATTCTTCAATGAATCCTAAATTATTTTTTTAGATATACCTATGGTTAAATAATTTTTCCCCCATCAGAGCAAGTAAGATAATTGAATTATAAAAAAGATTTAATCTAAAAAAGTCACTTTATTATTTCTATGAGAACTTTTATCATTTCAACTGAGAGAAACTAAATAGAAAAATATTGAATATGAAAAGTAAATACTTTGAAAAACAGAGAATGCCCTAAGATTTTAAGACTGTACTGGAAATAGGATTCTTATAATTCAGATTTATTTTTTAAAATTGCCATGCTAAATAAATCAGATCATTCAGTATTAACTCAAATAGTATTATCTGCTGTCAGATGTTTTTATTGTAATGTTTTCTTTATATATAAAAAATTTTGTTTAGTTAAAATATATTAGATATCAAATTATAAAATTATACATTCTAAATGAACACATTAAATGAAAATTAAGCAGAATTTTATATAAAAAATTATAACACTCTAACAGGTAAGATGAAAAGTAAACTTAGCTTTAAAAAAGGAAATTTTCAGCTGGGCGCAGTGGCCCACACCAGTAATCTCAGCACTTTGGGAGGCTGAGGCGAGCAGATCATAAAGTCAGGAGTTCAAGGTCAGGAGTTTGAGGCCAGCCTGGCCAATACAGCAAAACCCTCTACTAAAAGTACAAAAATTAGCCGGACCTGGTGGTGTGTGCCTGTAATCTCAGCTACTTAGGAGGCTGAGGTAGGAGAATCATTTGAACCCCAGAGGCGAAGGTTGCAGTGAGCCGAGATCAGGCCACTGCACTCCAGCCTGGGTGACAGAGCAAGCCTCTGTCTCAAAAAAACAAACAAAAAATTAAAATTAAAAAAAAAAACCAAATAAATAAAAAAGGGAATTCTCAGCTACTTTTTAAAAAAGGAGTTCTCTCCATGGAAGGCCTAATTTGGAAATATATGTGGGTCCCTAAACAAAGTAGTCCAGAAGCCAACTTCAGGCCAGAGCATTTGAATGCTACGGATTTGGGCAGGCAAGATCCAGACTCAGAGTACTGTTGGTTTGGGTTGGCAGGTAGAATTCAGATACTGGGAAATCAGAGAAAAATACAAATGCAATGCTAGGAAAAGGGGTCACACCCTACAATCCAGGTAGAACAGATACAAGTGAAACAGTTTCTTAATGAGGCAGAAAGAGGAAGTTACTAACTCCTCTTCTGGTTGGAGTATATTTTAACATACAAGCTGATATGAATTCATCAGCCTAAGCAAGGTTGCCTTGGATTTTGAAGTTGTCTTAAGGAATAAACTGTAGAGAAACCACAGGGCCAATCAGATGAATGATGAAATGGAAAAAACAACCATTAAATACTTTTAGAAAGTATTACAACTTAAAACTTTAAAAACCCTGAATCTTGAGCTAGCAGCAAAACAACTAGCATTCCTGACCTCCACAGTGCTTTCTTGCAACATCTCAGAAAGAACATCTGAGAATCCATTTTAGTCTGCTAAGAGACTTTCCTTAAGATTTACATCAGCTATATCATCAGGGTTTCTCTTGTCCTTGTTACCAAGGAGGTAAAAGAGGCCTTGTGAAATTTCTTCCTCAGTTGGCACATTATCTCAATGAGAAATAGAGCCCTTACAAAGACTTATTTTAGACATGAAACTCCATTACTGTACTTGGCAATTACTATTTCATGCTTCCCATTTTTTTCCTCTGATCCTTTAATGAAACTGTGATGTTGATGATCTATAAATAAATTTGATCTAACTGAATGAGACTAGGAGAATTTTACTGACAAAAATAATTTCCAAGTAGCCATGCCAATATTTATATCGATGTATTTTTTTTAAGATGTAGTCTTGCCACCGCCCAGGCTGGAATGCAATGGTGTAATTGCGGCTCACTGCAACCTCCACTTCCCAGGTTCAAGCAACTCTCCTGCCTCAGCCTCCTGAGTAGTTGGGATTACAGGCCCACCACCACGCCTGGCTAATTTTTGTATTTTTAGTAGAGACAGGGTTTTACTATGTTGGTCGGGTTGGTCTTGAACTCCTGACCTCAGGTGATCCACCTGCCTCAACCTCCCAAAGTGCTGCTATTACAGGAGTGAGCCACTGCGCCCGGCCAATGTATTATTTAATCAGAGAATTAACATGTTACTGAATGTATATGAGTTTACCAGCTCTATTTACTATACTAGTCACCAAATGACCTGAGTTCAACTTCAGTAAGACAGTCTGGGCTCAAGCCTATTAGGCTTACAGGATAAAAGCAGGGAAATATAGAAGCATATAAATCAGATAATGATTTAATGTAAGGAATGAGACTGTTTTAAGGGTGACAGTACAGAAAAGGCAGTTATTTATTTTTTTTGAGAAGGAGTTTCACTCTTGTTGCCCGGGCTGGATTGCAATGGTGCACCCTCAACTCACTGCAAGCTCTGCCTCCTGGATTCAAGTGATTCTCATGCCTCATCTCCCAAGTAGCTGGGATTACAGGTGCTCACCACCATGCTCAGCTAGTTTTTGTATTTCTAGTAGAGATGGGGTTTCACCATGTTCACCAGGCTGGTCTTGAACTCCTGACCTCAGGTGATCCTCCTGCCTCAGCCTCCCAAAGTGCTGGGATTACAGGCCTAAGACCCTGCACCCAGCTGGCAGACATTAATTTTCAACACAAGTGTATATGTGGGAGGGGGTTGTCCTTCTGAGGTAATACCTAAGAAAATGAAGGATGAATAGAAATTTGCTACACTACCATGACTGCTCTAGAAGAGGTAGAATGAAATTAGTGATTATTATTAAGCCTTGTTAGAAGTCCAAATCTTTAAATTGACATGAATTAAGAAAATTTTATGTCTAAAATTCGACAATTTGGATTTATGTAGTCTGCAGCCTTTAAGCTGCAAAAGGTGTATTTTCTCTTCTAGTTTTTGGCAAGCATCCAAAGAGGGACAATGCCCTTAAGCGAGATGACATTGACATTTGGTGCTTCTATATACATACATACATACATATATGTGTGTGTGTATATATATATATATATATTTTTTTTTTTTTTTCTGAGACAGAGTTCTGCTCTGTCACTCATGCAGGAGTGCAGTGGCATTATCTTGGCTTACTGCAACCTCTACCTCCTGGGTTCAAGCGATTCTCCTGCCTCAGCCCCCCAAGTAGCTGGGATTACTGACATGTACCACCATGCCTGGCTAATTTTTGTATATTTAGTAGACAGGGTTTCACCATGTTGGTCAAGCTGGTCTCGAACTCCCAACCTCAGGTGATCTGCCCACTTAGGCCTCCCAGTGCTGGGATTACAGGCGTGAGTCACTGTGCCTGGCCTGGTGCTTTAATACTTTAAAAACAACCAAGTCTGACCTTTAGATTGTGTAGACTTACTTTGTACAATAGGATGAAGGTAGTTTTCTCAAGGAACTGTGCCATTACATTAAGGGCTCTGATTAAATTCATTTGTCTGTATGTATATCCATGTACCACATATACACACAGGACATGGACACACAGACACCTCATCTCCATTGTTACTCAAATATATTTCTCAGCACATGACTCCTTGGTGGTGGGAGCATTACAGAATATGAGAAGATAACTTGTACTCAGTACAGTATTTTCACATACAAACCTATCTTTAAGACATTACAAAAAGTTGTAAAAATGTCAGTTATAGTCTCCAATACTTTTTTTTTCCTTCTAAAACAAGTTCTTACAAGCCTTTCATACTATTTCTGATGTCTATTTCAATGGAAGTAGTCAATACAACGTGTGAAGACCTGGGCATTAAAGAAGCATTAAACAAGACAATAAAGTAAGACTAAAAGGACTTTGAAAACTAAAAGTACTACCTAAAAGGAAGGCATCACTATCATTTTGAGCATTTTATGGTTTAGTATTTATGTAGTTTTGTCTCCTCTTCCTCTTGCTGGCTATCGGAGAGAAGCTGTAGATACAATTCCTAGAAGCATAAACTTTGAAATCAAACCATCTGAGCTTGAACCTGGACTCCCTGGCTTGCTAGTTATGTGACATGAGGCATGCCATTTCTGTGACTTGGTTTCCTTACCCATAACATATGGATAACAACATACATTTCTCAGAGGGTAGCTGTTAGGACTAAATAAATTTACAAATGTGAAAGTTGCTGGCAAAGGATAAACACTAAATGTGTTAACAGTCACTATTTCTACTGCTAATAATGGTATCTAAACATTGATTTTCCGTATATACCTTAGAAAAATCAACAACCCTTGCAGGTAGGTATTAAAATATTTTTATTTAATGGTTTGGGTACTTTTCACTATGACAATCACTTAAAATAAACCATAAAAATTTACTGGCCTATTTTCCAGAGGAGCAAATAAATATTAACAATGGTCTGGGGGAACAAATGTTTATCAGCAAATAGCAGTAGTTTAACCCAAATAAAGAATTTGCATGCTAGCTTTGAAATTTGCTGAACTCTTACCTATGAACTCCAATCTAAATTCTCCAAAATACAGAAACCAAGACCATCTCGTATTACTGAAAATAAAGAAACATCAAAGGGATTTGGTTTCTTCATGAACTGAACATAGGGAGTATTTTAAAATCATTACAATTTTCTTTTGAAGTTATACCTATGTAGAACTTTCTAGAAAGAGCAAGTTATCAATTCTTAAAGCTTCAAATTCAGGCCAAACATGGTGGCTCATGCTGTAATCTCAGTACTTCAGGAAGCTGAGGCGGGAGGACCACTTGAACACAGGAATAGATATGCCTAGGCAACAAGGTGAGATTATGTCACTAACAAAAAATTTTAAGTTAGCCAGGTGTGGTGGTGCATGCCTGTAGTCCCAATTAGGAGGCTGGGAAGGGAAATCACTTGAGCCTGCGAGATCAAGGCTATACTGAGCCATGATTGTGCCACTGCACTCTCAATACAGCAAGACCCTGTCTCAAACAAACAAAAACAACAACAACAACAAAAAAACCCATAGACCTGAAACAAAAACAAAAACAAAAGCTCCACATTCCTCGGGTTTTGGAGGTATCCAAACACAACTAAAAATCGTAAATTCAAAAATGGCACAACAGCTTAACTACTATGGACCTGAAGCTTTACTCTAAGTCATTTTCTAATTTTTTCAAAGAATGCAATGCCCATTAAACTGCTGAGAAAAGGGGCATAACAGAGGCTTTGACTTCAAATCTGATCCATAAGCCTGTTGTGGCAAGAAACACCCCTCCTCCTAAACAGCCAGACTTTCAGACCTCCAAAACATAGTTTCTTTATTCTGTTAGCACAGCTGTTTCTCAGGTTCTAAATCTTTTTTTTTTTTTTTTTTGACAGAGTCTTGCTCTGTCACCAGGCTGAAGTACAGTGGCATGATCTCAGCTCACTGCAACCTCTGCCTCCTAGGTTCAAGCGATTCTCCTGCCTCAGCCTCCCGAGTAGCTGGGACTTCAGGTGTGTACCATTACGCCCAGCTAATTTTTGTGTTTTTAGTATGGACAGGGTTTCAACATGTTGGCCAGGATGGTCTTGATCTCTTGACCTTGTGATCCACTCGCTTCGGCCTCCCAAAGTGCTGGGATTACCAGTGTGAGCTACAGTGCCCAGTCTATAAACCTGTCCTTTTTAAATAAAATTACTATTACCTCTTTAAATTATAAAATTAGTGTGTGAGACATTATAATGAGTTAAGACATATCATTTTTGCTTATATTCTAAATGGGTCAAATTCTGAGAAAAACATTCTTTTTTTTTTGAGACAGAGTTTCGCTCTTGTTACCCAGGCTGGAGTGCAATGGCGGGATATCGGCTCACCGCAACCTCCGCCTCCTGGGTTCAGGCAATTCTCCTGCCTCAGCCTCCTGAGTAGCTGGCATTACAGGCACGCATCACTGTGCCCAGCTAATTTTTTGTATTTTTAGTAGAGACGGGGTTTCACCATGTTGACCAGGATGGTCTCGATCACTTGACCTTGTGATCCACCCGCCTCGGCCTCCCAAAGTGCTGGGATTACAGACTTCAGCCACCACACCCGGCGAAAAACATTCATTTTTCTAGACAGGTCTAACACTTGAATTTATTAGTGTCATGTTTACATTTTATAAGCACATGTTTAAACTGAAAGATCCATAACTACTGGTTGTCATTAACAGTAAGAAATGTTGTTTAATATCCAATGTGAATTCCACAATTTTACAACAGTTCAGCTTTTGCTAAATGTAATTACTGAGGTACAAAAGAAACAAACTCCTAATTCGGTATGTTGGCCTTAGATTTTTTTTTCCCCCTGAGGTAGGGTCTTGCTCTGTCACCCAGGCTGGAGTGCAGTGGTGCCATCTTGGCTCACTGCAATCTCTGCATCCCAGGTTCAAGCAATTCTCCTGCCTCAGCCCCACCAAGTAGCTGGGACTACAGGCATATGACACTACTCCAGATAATTTTTGTATTTTTAGTAGAGATGGTGTCTTGCCATGCTGCCCAGGCTGGTCTGGAACTCCTGAGCTCAGGTAATCTGCCAGCTTTGGCCTCCCCAAGTGCTGGGATTACAGGCATGAGCCACCGCAACTGGCCAGATTTCTATTTTTAAGCAAATTCTGACCAGTACACGTATTTTAGAAGTTACTTTTCTTACTCTCCTGCTCAGAATACTTCATGACCTCCCTTGCCTCAAATTGCTATTTTCACTATGAAAAGGTATCCCTGGGGATGACACGCAGATATGGTACAGGAGGAAGCCAGAGTAAGCAAGATGCATCTTCCTATATCCGCAGTCTTGAGGAAAACGAAATTCTAACCGTAGGCATTTTTACATTACAATAACATAAAACAGTATAAAGTTAGTGGGATTCTTTTGATAAAACTCAAATTTAAAGAAAATATTTCTGAGTCAGAGCATAGCACTTAATCTCTTCTCTAGAGGAAAATATAATCTTTCTAGTCCCTGGCACAGAAATGAACTGGATTAAGAAATAAATTCACCAATCCAAATATGCAACTAGAAGGGAATATAAGGCTAGTAACAACTGTCTTTGGATGATAAAAATACGATTTTTAAATAAATTTTTTTTTGCTCTTCCTGAAGTTTCTATGTCTACACAGTACTTTTATGCTAAGAAAAATCAAACTTAACAGAAAAATGCTTAATTTTTAGATGTGCAACTTTCATTGCATTATCAAATCTTTATAAAATAAACCAGATTTGTATTTCTTTACTAATGGAGTTCCAAATTAAAAGAGATTTAAATACCCCCTTTGTTACACTTACCTGTGTTTGAGGTTTTAAAGGCTTGAAGAGTGGGGAAATGACAGTGAAATCTCTCAACCATGAACTCAAGAAGGAATTCTTGAATTCCTTTTCAATATTGCTTTGAGAATTTAGAGCAAGCTGTTCCTCTGAAGCTGATTTTAAACTTATCTAATTTTGAAATTTTTCTTCCATGACAGTTAATTCTTCATTATCATGTCTAAAGTTCCCGAACACAGTAGGATTCCCTTTTATAGATTTCCAAAGTAAATTATTATGTGGAGGTAAGGTTGCTTCAAATAAATACTTTTATTTTTCAAGGATTTCTCTCTCCTTTTCAAAAAACAAACTCTGCCCATCACAAAAATCATAAATGCTTATTTATAATCAAGAAGATCCCTCCTACCCCAATAAGATTTATCTCTTACCCAGAGTAAACCAGTAAAACAATTTAGCATGTTATTATTCTAGTGAATCTATTCAAACTATTTGATAATCTTTTACTTAATAATAAACAACTTTTTAGCTCATTATTCAATTGCTGTTTTAAATAGTTGCACAGTGTCCTACTAAACATGTTATTTAATCAACCCTTTATTATTGAATGCTTAATAAACAATACCATCACAAAGACAGGAATTACTTCTTTAAAAAGTGTATTTGTTAATTGCTTTTACAATATTGGAAAACTCAAATAATTATTCTTTTAATGTTCATAAATCTTAAGGATATATTATATTGTAACTGGTTGATAACTCTTTGAAGAATTTAAAAAGTCAACTATATAACATGTCAGCATAAAATTAATATCTGAACCTTGGGACCTGATATTTAGGCTACTGTTTTGAAGTTTCTTAAATTTTTTTTTCATATTACTAATACATTTAAAAGGTTAACCTATATGAGTAAATGAGAAACAATGAAAGAAGTGTTATGTACCTCAGGTGTGTGAAGGTAGAGAAAAAGGTTAAGAACTATAGGTATATGTTCATACCATGGGAAGGATGGTTAATGTCAGACTGTTAAGGTCAATAAACAGTACACATGAGAAATTCTGCCTTATTAATAAAAATGTACAGGCATTAGTTGGAAGAGAATTGAAGTGAAGAAATGGCATAAAGGCAAAGAGAAAGAAAAACTAATGAATTAGGACTAGTTAGTTCATCTGAAGAAAAATCAACATAGAAAATGTTGTGACAAAAATCACAAGGTATCAAAGTAAGCAATTTTAATGTTACACTACAGGAAAAAAACAGTGCTTTGGGAAGATTAAAAAAGTAATATATACTATATAGAAAATGAAATTGTTCAAAACAGCTAGAGGCAAAGAACTAGTTAAAATGCCGCTAAATAGAAATAAGTGAAAAACAATGAAGTACTTATAGTAGAAATTTCAAGGATGAAGGAATCAAAGTTGATTGTGGTTCATTTGGGTATATGATAAACATGAGCAAATTCAGTGTGTCTCTTGGAGTCATTAGTTTTGGCTCCACCTAAATTGACCCCGCAGAAAACCATTTCAAAGCCATCAATGCACAATTCACAAAGTCCTGATCACACACATACCTATTCACTAACCATTTAAACATTCTGTTTGTATTCTAAATAGTCTGACGGAGGCTCTAATGTCGAATCAGACTCATAAAAATATTGTCCTATCTGCAGAGGTCAATAGGCTGAGGTACATACGCCTGTCAAGAGTGTCCTAAAGAAGTATGAAAAACTGGGCACGGTGGCTCACGCCTGTAATCCCAGTGGATCCCAAGGTCAGGAGTTTGAGACTAGCCTGGCCAATATGTTGAAACCCCATCTCTACTAAAAATACAAAAATTAGCCAGGCGTGGTGGCAGGTGCCTGTAATCCCAGTTATTCAGGAGGCTGAAGCAAGAAAATTGCTTGAACTGGGGAGGTGGAGGTTGCAGTAAGCTGAGATCACATCACTGCACTCCAGCCTGAGCGACAGAGTGAGACTGACTCAAACAAAAAAAAAGAGAAAAGAAAAATGGAATCTGTAGATCAAGGTAAAAGCTTATAAAGCTCTAAGATATGGCCCCTACCAACTCTCTGATTCTATTAACTACTATTCCTCTTTACATTTGATCATAGCCACACGTGCTTTCTTGCTGTTCCATGTACAAAAAATGCTTCAGCCTCAGGGTCTTTGTATTTGTTATTTCATCTGCTCAGGTACCTACGTGGTTTGCTCCCTTATTGTTTCTAGGTGTTTGTTCAAATGCCATCTCTGTAGAGTATTTCCTACCCATAATATTTAAAAACATCTCTCTCCTGCCTTCCAGACACCTTTATCACATAATTGCCACTTTCCCTGCTCTATTTTTGCCACAAAACTTACGCTCTCTGACATACCAAATATAGTAACTATCAGTTTTTCTGTCCATTCCATCACTCACTCTTCTACCCGCAAGATTAGTAAGCTCCATGGGGGCTGGAATACATCTTTTTTATTCAGTGACAATCTTCAGCACCTAAACAGCAAATAAATGTGTATCTCTCTATATATAAATGTTTCAAATCTATTTTTAATGTTGCTTGTCAAACATTAACATTTTCATACATCTAGAAATGACATTAATAAAAATATAAACAAATTGATATAAAAATCTGTGTAGACTCAGGTAGAATTTACGAACTCTTAATAAATGATGTATTTAAGCTTTCTCAATGATGGGACAACAAATAGTAGACTTCATTGCTTCATACTAAAATGGCATTTTTGACTATTCACATGGAAACTTAAAAAAACTGCCCTGTAGTTATTATCACAGGAATTCAGTTCAATGAGGAAAAAAGTTTTAGTGGTACTATGAGAACCTGTATCTCTGAAAATATTAGCTCTATAAGTGTAAGCACTCCCAAAGATTATAATAAAATGTGGAGACAGGCAAACTATGGGGTGATTTCAAGTTGCTAACACTTCCTAAAGATTTTCTTTAATAGAATCATTCATGCTAAGTGGATAAAAGTTATACATTACAAAAGAAAGACACAGAATACATCCAATAAGAAATTAATCATACTGAGGAATATTTAGTGTAGAACTGGCTTAAAATTTTTTTTTGAGCAGAATTTCTCAACATCTAACCCTATAGCAAATAATACAAATAAGATTCTTCAAGCAGTTGGCATTTCTTCAAAACACAAGGGTCCAATTACAATATCACGTTATTTGAAGTCCCACAGAATTAGAGAAGAATCTGTACTACTCAATGTTTTTGCATAAATTCTGACATAAAAATAAACCCAAATATAAATTATGAACATTTAATTTCAGTATAATGTAAACAAAAACAGCAGCTAACTTGTCATGTTTCACAGTAATTTTAGCATAAAACATTTAAACATTTTGCCGATATATTTTTCATTGCATATAGGCTTACAAAAAAGACATCAGAAATACCTGTGATGTTATTTCATATGTAAAGGAGATAAGAACATAAAGTTAAATTTCCAGTGGAGGCGTTAATTTTTCAATAAAAATGTTCAAGTTATTAGTAATAAAATGGAAGTTATTAAGTAATCCCTTGACATATGTAAAACAAAATTTTTTAGTAGATAGAAATGTATTGATGATAGCCTCTTATTTCTTCTCCCAGTTATGCAAGTGATATATCTAAATACTTACTAGAGCCAAATCTATCTCAAAAGTTTAGGTCATTTTTTTTCCTTTTTGATAGTATTCAATGAGAAATAATACTTAAAATAAAACTTTTTCCATGAGGAAGGTACAGTAATTATCCACCTGCAAAAGGAAAAAAATACAATTTGATTTAGAATGTCAACTTCTAAATATATAAATATACTAATTTAGAGAAAGAATAGTTTATGAAAGTATAATCTTGCTAATCTTAGTAGGGCTAACTGGTGTATGTATCAGTAATAACACTTAGTGGCTTAAAAAACACCTATAACTCTGAATTAATCAAAAAGATACATAACTGAAAAAAATCTTTAATATTAAATATGGAATTTAGTCTATGGCTAGGTCAAGTTTTCAGATCTATTATCACATATTAATCCATGCCATCTGGAGAGATTTGTCCTTGAATATAAGATGCAAATAGAATGACTGAAATACATTTCTCTTGCTACCTCCTGGACACTCTCCTGCAGTCCTCTGAGTAAGCTCCAAACTCAATCCATACTCCAAGTAACAGACTTAGGATGTTCAATATTGAAATTCTTTGGCATCAATTTAAAAAGAAACCTAAATGAAAAAGATTAGTACTTCTTCCAAATAAGAAAAAATGAAAACTTTATACCCATATACAACTATGTATGGTTTTTTTGCAAAACAAGAAGTCAAAATAAGATCAACACTGAAAGGTACAAACTTTCATTTTAGTACTGGCTCCTTACGTGTTTCAAAATTACAACTCTATAAATAAAACATCCAGTCTTGTTGAGAGTTTCCTAAATGCTGTTTCATTAGATATCGACAGACCATCTCCTCTTAAGAAGAGACTGGAAAGTAAATAATATTTCACTAAGTTTTAATGCAGGATTTTTCCTATATTCTCTTACTTCTCAAATATTTCAATTTTTCTTTAATCCACTGTCAGGATTAAAAACAAGAAAAGTTTTCATTTATCTATAAAAGCTCCAAATAATCCTTCTTCACATCTAGAGCACTTAATGATATAAACAATCATCTGGTAAATGGAAAAGGCAAATTTTTTTGGTCATTTAGAAGACAGATTGAATATAATTTTCTAAAACCTGACTTCAGCTACATTTAGGATACAAAAAAAAAAAAAAAAAAAAAAAAGAAAGAAAGAAAGAAAGAAACAAAAACAACTAACTCCTGGGTTGTTCTGAAAAGTATTAGACAGTATTGGATAAACTTTGTAATTCATTCAATAAATATTCTAAGCATCTGTGTTAGGTCCTGGAATACTTTTAGTGGAACCAAAAGTTATATATTTAGTGGAACCAAATCTTTCATGCAAGGGTTGAAATAAAATAAAGAAAACAAGTTAAGAGCTTGATAAACGATTTTTAAAAGCACCAAGGCAGTATTTCCATGTAAATGCTGGCATTTAGTTCTATCCACTATATATGGTATATTGAGAACAAAACGTTGCTGGGTAAAAAGTGACTTTTTAAAAACGACAGCTTTGTTTTATATAATATTTTATCTTCAAATTAAAATTTAAACAAAACGGTCCTTTAGCTTTCAAATACAATGTTTTGTTTTGAGACAGTCTCACTCTGTCACCAGGCTGAGTGCAGTGGCACGATCTTTGCTCACTGCAACCTCTGCTTCCCAGGTTCAAGAGATTCTGCTGCCTCAGCAATCCATGTAGCTGGGATTACAGGCACCCGCTGCCTCACCCAGCTAATTTTTGCATTTTCAATAGAGAAAGAGTTTTGTCATGTTGGCCAGGCTGGTCTCAAACTCCTGATCTCAGATGATCCACCCACCTTGGCCTCCCAAAATGCTAAGATTACAGGCATAAGCCACCACCCCCAGCCTCGAATACAATTTCTTAAATTACATCTAAAATACTTTACGAGTTTCCAGAATAGACAATTATGATTGGAAAGGATTAACAACTGTTTTTATTTTGTAGGTTTTCTGCACGGTTACAATTGAAAACTCTAAGACACTCCTTGTAGAAAATAACACCAGAGTTATGGTACACTACACAAACATATTCATCTTATCCTGAATATCATTTTTAAATTTAATGACTTTAAAACACCACAGATAAGGAAAAGAAGGTAAATAAAGCACTTTTGTTCAGTTTTTTTTTTTTTTTTTTTTTTTCTGTTGTTGAAACGAAGTCTTGCTCTGTCACCCAGACTGGAAAGCCAAGACCCAATCTTGGCTCACTGAAACCTCCACCTGCCGGTTCAAGTGATTCTCCTGCCTCAGCTTCCTGAGTATCTGGGATTACAGGCGCCTGCCACCACATCTGGCTAACTTTTTATTTTTAGTACAGACGGGGCTTCAACATGTTGGCCAGGATGGTCTCAAATTCTTGACCTCAGGTGATCAACTCACCCTGGCCTCCCAAAGTGCTGGGATTACAACAGGCGTGAGCCACTGCACCTGGCCTTCTGTTTAGATTTGAATTAAATTAGGCCAGGTGTCTATACTAAAATTTAGGTGGGCATGGTCGGGGTTGGGGGGAGGTGGCAGGGAGGGGCGGGGCGTGCACTTGTCATCCCAGCTACTTGAGTCAGGAGAATTGCTTAAACCTGGAAAGAGGAGGTTGCAGTGAGCTGAGTTTGCACCTCTACACTCCAGCCTGGCAAGAGAGCGAGATTCCGTCTCAAAAAAACAAATGAACAAACAAAAAAGAAGACACAAGACTAAGACACTAATCTGATAGGTGTAGCAAATTACTTGAGTTTTATGTTTCCTCAGCTATCCAGAGAGTGCGTTGGTTACCCACAAGGGTTTTCCTATCTTAAAAGTTATGGTTAAGTGTGTTTTGAGAACCAGAATTTCAGGTATTTAATTCCGTTATCTTGATGCCTTTTCCCCTTCACATATAAAGAAATATTTGGAAACAGTACTAAATATAGTCTTCTAAGCTCTGTTCAAAATGCTTAATATATTTTACAATTTATCTGTGAGACAATGGCATATTTTAAAAGTAATTTCAAAACAAAGGGAAAACTTGAATTTGTTTTATCCCAAGAAAAATTCTGAATTAATGTCTATGTTGAATGTAAATGTGCATTAAAATAAATTCCTCTAATGCTGCATAAGCTCTTTCAAGAAACTCTTGATGGCATTCAATATAATTATTATTAAAATGCAATTATACTATTTTAAGAGACACAATACATCTGATAAATTAGTATTAACTTATTTTTACGGAAGCATACTAAAAATAACAAGATTATCAGTAATACTGAAAAGACATCAATAAAACTAAAGACACATTAGTAACATTAATATACATTAAAATACAATTGTAGAGTATGGTCAACCTTACTTCAGCAGCACAGTTAATACTGGAGATAATTTTAGAATCTTAACGCCAATATTTACGTGCTGCTAAGGCACTGCTGACATTGCTATGATAAGAGCTATGAATAAGAAGAAATATATTTTTTTCAGAAGATCAGATCCTTGTATTTTTGAGGCAGCACAATATGGCCTGCACCTTTTCAAAATCCACAAACCATTATGTGCTGCTACTTTACTCCAAGGTTTTGTTTTTTTTAAAACACACATTAGCACCTAAAGAATGTAAAAAATATTTTTTCAGAAAAAAAATGCATACAAAAAATATGTCTAAACATTATAACACTGATGTAATATGCATTATCAGTTATTTTTAAGAAGATTTAAAGTAGAATAATAAAACATTTCTACATCAAAAACTTAACTGAAGTCCGTTCTGTGCCCAGCACAGGGCTATAGGTTAGGAAACAAAGAATAAAATGCAGAAAAGGAAAGCATTTATTTGCTATGACAACTTATCAGGGCAATACAATTGAATGTTTAAATTTCTGAATATGTTCAATATATTAAGTTATTTTTCCTAGTATAAACCAAAAAGCAAATTTGTAAAATTTGATCTTTACCTTGGTAAAAGCAGAATTTACGAACATTTTGTCCCTTGCAGTACAACTTTCAAAAGACATCTTCATCAAGTAGGTAAGACTTCATATAAAGGGAAAAATATGAAATGACATACAAGAGCTCAGTTTCAATAAACTTAAGCTAGCAAAATGCAAATATACTTTTAAAGAAAAATATTTTAATTCTAAATAAACTTAATTTTATTAAATTTCTAATTAAGACATTTTAATTCTAAATAGTGAAAAAAAGCTCCAAACAATCCAATTCTCCCTTAGGTAATTTGTTATTAATAACCTAAATATTTTAGTTTCATCATTGATCTCCACATTAGAAGTTCTCTTAGAGTTGGAGATCATTTGATACAGTAAGCAGTTCTAAAATATGAATCCTTGGGATGATGAGTTAATTTGGTATCCTGAGATGAGAAATAAAACAAATCCTATAGCTCTTGATCTGGTCCATTTACCAGGTAAAACAGAATACTCCTAAAGTTTTCACTTACTCAGCTGTAGAAATTAAATTCCTTTTCTCTAAATGATGTCAGAAAATTGCCACCACTCCAGTGGTGCAACCACTCAAGCCTAGACAATCTTTTTGCCCCATTTTCTCATTATTAAAATGGCTATGCTAAAATTACATCTATTACAGAATAGTAAAGTGATATATACAATCAAAGCATTAAAATTTGTCCCTCCATTCTAATATCTAATTACTTATACAAAGCACAGGGTCACATTTCATATTAACTTTTTCTGAATATTTTTCCCATTAATAAAAACTATCTGTAGCTAATCTCCTATCTAAGCAACCTGGATTTCACATATAACTCTGCTCCTTAGTGTTTCAAGTGTCTGCACAACGTTTTTTGTTTTTTTTAAGAGATACAGCAATTTCTGGTATCTTTTAGAGAAAAAAAATTTCATTTCTACATCTGAATAAGTAGAAACTTTAGGAGTATACTTCCTTACCTGGTAAATGGACCAGACTGGCAGGGAATAGGAAGACCAAGAGCTACAAGATTTATTTCTCATCTCAGGGTACTCTTGCCCAGGCTGGAGTACAGGGTCATGATCGTAGCTTACTGCAACCTTGACCTCCTGGGCTGAAGTGATCCATCCACTACAGTCTCCCACGTAGCTGGGACTACAAGTGCACTCCATCACACACGGCACTTTACATTTTTATTTTATTGTAGAGACAAGGTCTTGGTATGTTGCCTAGGATGATCACAAACTCCTGGCCTCAAGCAATCCTCCTGGCTTTGGCCTCCCAAAGTCCTAAAATTACAGGCAAGAGCCACCGTGCCTGGCCTGCACAATTTTTTTTTTTAGTTTTTAAAAGCTTTTTTAATTCTATAGAATTAAAAATATATTACAAAAAAAAAAACCACCTTCCACAGACTTATCACCCAGCTTCAACAATTATCAACATATAGCTGAACTTAATTTATCTATATCTCCCTGCACTCTCCCTCAGGATTATTTGGAAGCAAATCACGTTTCAAATCAGTTCATCCATACATATTTCAATATATATTTCCAAAAAGTTAAAGTTAAGGACTCTGTTTTTTTTTTTTTTTAGAAGGAGTCTCACTCTGTCACCCAGGCTGGAGTGCAGTGGCACTATCTCGGTTCCGTGCAACCTCCACCTCCCAGATTCAAGTGATTCTCCTGCTTCAGCCTCCAGAGTAGGTGGTAGACCACAGGTGCGTGCCACCATGCCTGGCTAATTTTTTTGTATTTTTAGTAGAGATGAGATTTCACTTCAACATGTTAGCCAGGATGGTCTAAATCTCCTGACCTTGTGATCCGCCCACCTTGGCCTCCCAAAGTGCTGGGATTACAGGCATGAGCCACTGCGCCCGACCTAAAGTTAAGGACTCTTAACATAACAACACTATCATATCACCTAATAAAAATTAACTATAATCTCTTACTCTCATCAGATATCGATTTGGTGTTCAAATTTCCCTGAATTGGATTCTGATCAAGATCCACAAATTGTGTACAATTTTGAACACGTAATCAAAATAAATCTGTTTGCATTCGCTTGAGAAATACATAACATATATTTGTATTTGTCAATTAAATTAAGGAACTGTCCTTCGGGCTCTCCCTCACCACATAGATTTTCCAGATAGAAACTTAAACATAATTTTCTTCAAATATAAAAGGTGCCTGTAAATTATTTAACAAATATTTTATTGAATACCTACTATGTCTCAAGCACTATCCCAGTTATTACACTACTTAGCAGTATACCAGATATACAGTCTCTTTTCAGAAAGAATTTTAAATCATTTAAATTTTAAGACACAAAATTATAAAATAGGATGGGCAAGGTAGCTTACACCTGTAATCCCAGCACTTTGGGAGGCTGAGGTAGGCAGATCACCTAAGTTTGGGAGTTTGAGACCAGCCTGACCAACATGGAGAAACCCCGTCTCTACTAAAAATACAAAATTAGCTGGGCCTGGTGGTGCATGCCTGTTATCCCAGCTACTTGGGAGGCTGAGGCAGGAGAATCGCTTGAACCAGGAGGCGGAGGTTGTAGAGGTCTCACCATTGCACTCAAGCCTGGGCAACAAGAGCAAAACTCCGTCTCAAAAGAAAAAAATAAATAAATAAATAACTATTCAATACCATATATTTTTCTTTGTCCCTGAACAGTCAATGTAGACATCAAATAATTATTCTAAACATTAAGTGATTATTCCAAATTCAAGAAGAAATCACCTGGGTAATTTCATTTCCAATCCTTTTTTCTTTTTTGTACAAAGTCCATATATTTTCAACTAAGCCAAGAGTGCTAAACTTGACATAAACATAAATATTCACATATTTTAAAAAAATTTCACAGCAACAATATTCTCACTTATTACACTTGACCTTTGGAGTCTCACTCTGTCATCCAGGCTGAAATGCAGCGGCATGATCTCAGCTCACCGTAACTGCTGCCTCCTGGGTTCAAACGGTTCTCTTGCCTTAGCTTCCCGGGTAGCTGGGATTACAGGCGTGCGCCACCATGTTGAGCTAATTTTTTTGGTATTTTTAGTAGAGATGAGGCTTCACCATGTTGGTCAGCCTGGTCTTGAACTCTTGACCTCAAATGATCTGCCCACCTCAGGCTCCCAAAGTGCTGCAATTATATGCCTGAGCCACCGGGTCCAGCTACATTAGACTCTTGAACAACATGGGTTTGAACTGCACAGGCATATTTATATATGAATTTTTAAAATATACTGAAAAATGTTTGAAATTTATAACAATTTGAAAAAACTCGCAGATGAACTGCATAGCCTAGAAAGCTAAAAAAAATAAGAAAAACATGTCGCTAGTGTATAAGACATATGTATGTAGATTCTAGTCTATTTTACAATGTGCTCTCATAAAATATATAATTATGAGTTAAAATTTATAAAAACTTACACACAGACTGTACATAGTGCTATTTGCAGTAGAGAAACATAAGATGCAGTATTAAATAACTGACTAAAATTATAGTTCATAAAATACTACTACAATAATTTTGGAGTCACCTGTTATTGTGATGAGCTCAGTCGAGTATCTGCTTAAAATACTCTGTGATGCTAATCATCTCAGTATTAGCAGTTTCTTCAGTAAATTGCATATTGCAGTAAAAAGTGATCTCTTTTTTTCATTGTGTTTAATGCAATAGTGTAAACCATGAATAAAACTATGAGACCCATATGAAGTGCCATTGGTGATGCTGAAAAGTGCTTCCAAAAAGCTGAGAAAGGTTATGACATTACAAGAAAAAGTTAAACTGCTTCGTACGTTCTGTAGATTGAGTTCTATAGCCATGGTTGCCATTTCAAGATAAATGAATCCAGTGTGATCATTGTAAAAAAAAAAAAGGGGGGGGATTCATGTAGCCATGCTGCAGCTACACAAGCAGGAACAAAAACCTTGCACGTTTTGTGAAACACCTTACCTCATATTAAAAATGCAGCTTTTATGTAGGTATAGGATTGTTATAAAAAAGGCATACCTATAGACTCTGATATGAGAAAAAGTAAAGTCATTATAAGACTACTTTAAAGTACAGGAAAGTCAAGGATCTTAAGCTGAAGAATTTAGTGCCAGCAAAGAATGGTTTGAGTTTTAGAAAGAAACTCATGTCAAGGTAACAGGAGAAACAGCTTTGAGGCAGATGAGTTCCTAGACACCACTAAGAAAATCGGTGGGGAGAAAGGATATCTGCCTGGACAGGTTTTTAACGCTGATATATGTGCCCTATTCTGGAAGAAAATGCCACAAAGGACATTTAGGAGTAAGGAAGAGAAGCAAGCACCAGGATTTAAGGTAGGAAGAAATAGGCAAATTCTACTGTTTTGTGCAAATGCAGTAAGGTTTGCTGCCCTTAGCCATAAAGCTGCTTATCTCTGAGCTTCAAAGGGAAAAGAAAAACCAGCAGCCAGTCTTTTGGTTGTACAACAAGAAGGTATAGACAATGAGAATGCTTTTTCTGGACTGGTTCCATCAATGCGATGTTCCCAAAGTCAGGAAGTACCTTGCCAATAAGGGACTCCCTTTTAAAGTTCTTTTGATATTGGACAAGGCTCCTGGCCACACAGAACCACAAGTTTAACACGAAAGGCGCTGAGGTGGTCTACATTCCCCAACACAATGTCTCTATTTCATCCTCTGTATCAGGGTCATAAGGATCTTTACAGCTCATTATACACAGTACTCTGTGGAAATGACTATCAAGGCTGTGGAAGAGAACCCTGATAGAATATCATGAAAGTCTGGAAGAATTATACCACTGATTATGCTACTGTTAGAGAAAAAGCTGTGAAAGCCATCACGTCTGAAACACATTCCTGGAGAAAACTGTGTCCAGATGTTGTGTATGACTTCATAGGATTTATGAGTGAGACAATCAGATATCATGAAAGAGACTGTGGATATGACAAAAAAAGGTGTGGTGGGGGAGGGGCAAAAAGTTTCAAGATATGGATCTTTGAGAAATTCAACAGCTAACAGACACCAGAGGAATTAACAGACAAGAGATGACTGCTTCTGAACCAGTGCCAGATGGTGAGGAAGACAACATAG